TCTGTCGATCCGGTGCCAGCCGCTGCGGTCAGAGGACCTGCCGCACCAGGGCGGAGGCCGATGTATGGTGATACATCCCCTCTGTGCTTCTCCTCATCAAGCACGGCGCCCGGCCAGCTATCATCAGGATCACATCCGGTAGTTACTCAGTTCTAGCATCGAAAGGCTCTTCAGACCCTGACCGGGAAAGGCGACGCACAAGGACAGGTAAGTGGTTTCTGTAACATCCAATGTCGGTGCATCGAAATGAGGACGAAGCCAAGTTTCGGCATCGTCCATGCATGTAAGCCTGAGGACGTGCATCCTTTTACAGGTATGTTAGTGACAAGAAATGGCTCTGAACACGCGCGCTCCCAATCCTCGACAGCCAACACATTCATCCCCGGCGCTGCAGTCTCTGTGGAGCCAAGCAGTTCGTAAGCAGATATAGAAATGCATTAGATGTGAATGCAAAATTGTTATGTTATGCTACATTACACGGTATATTTAGATGAAAACAGTCTTCCCCAATCTTTGTACATGTCGGAATGAATGCTGCCATCGCAACGATCAGACGTCACTTCCTGTCAACGATAGTTCTTAAATACTACACCTGTTTTTCCGTTTGCGATTACATGCGAGGCCGTGTGTCAATCAGGTTTTACTTGAACAGCGCTCATAAGAATTTTCACTGCGGACGGCTCGGGTAAATTGCCTTTGCGCTGAAAATTTCACAACCCCTTTATGCAGCCCCATACACTTTTTGGCAAAAAGAAGCACAAATCTTTAAACGTTGTGTCGTATAGTTCTTAAGGCAAGTGTATAACAACTGCTTCATGAGGTGTAAAAATATAGCCCTTCCATGTTGATCAATATATGACATATATAATGTGCTAGTAGCGAATAAGCTGCACGCCCAAGATCGAACCTAGACTCCGATCCCGACGATCTACCGGCGCAGCAATAGCAAACTAACACAGTTTGGCGGATCGACAGAATCGTCATATAAATCGTCATAGAACCACTGCGAGCCAGGGTGTGGTCGCTCACCCACGCTCGAGTGCATACCATGCGTCCACCTGAATGTAGGCGTTCGTCAAGAATTTGTGTCAGATTTTGGCATCTAGAGATAAAGACATGCTAAGTACCCGGTTTAAGTGAATATACGGTATGTAAATCCCCAGTCGATCTCTGCACTGTCCGACCATGTATTGTAGCATCAGTAATCAACTAGCGGTGCACAATGTGGTCTTTTGAGAAACAGGGCCAAGTTTTTTTCTATGCCGTTACCCAAGAACAGGTAACCAGGGGTGCCCCTCCCTCAATCCCAGCGACGCAGTAAACCGTACGTTAACACCAGAAAACATAAAATCAAGTCGCGGCACTCCCAGCTAGGAAGATAAAGCAAACGTAAAGAAGCAGGCGAAGAGGTGGTGCAGACCCGAAGGAATTGTGTGATGTAATAGGTAGGGAAAAATCACAAAAAAAATCCTAAAAATCAAAAATTAAAAATCAAAAATCATTTATGAGCCAAAACTACGGACGTACACAGTTCTTAATTGCGTCGTGTTAACAAATGAATCAGAAACAAGCCAATGTCGCTTGATCTCCCCATTCTTGAGTCATCGATGCGTCGGACTCATCGGCTGGACCAAGCTGTTTTTGGTCTACGAGCCCATGTGAAGCAAGTCAAAAGTGAGTAGATTCGTCCTTCCATTTCGTAAAACGAGGCCCTGGTTTCGAATAATGTTTGACGAGGCCTTAACAGGGAGACATTGAGCAATACAAGCTGCTCGGGCTTGCAGCCCAGTTCGCTGTTAACAAAAGATCACTACGTTACTCAAGTCACTTCCTACGTCACTGGAGACTGCTGTGGTCTTTCGCGACAAGTTGGTTGCACTCACCAACAATATTTCTCGGAGAATTTGCTTCGTGAACCGAAATGTGCAGACCTGGCTAAGCGCATAATAAAGGATTCTACGGTTTGTTTAAGCCCATTTGTACCCAGGTGGTATGGGTATTCGGTTGGGATGTGCGCACATTTCGGGGAAATCACAGGTATAAGTGTGGTATATCACCGATACCGAATCAAAACGTGCACAAAACGTTGGATCAAAGCCTTAAGGAAGATTACACAATGTTGCTGCTTGTTGGTCAGAAGAAATGGTCATAGCCACGGACATATACAGGCACGGCCACATGGGTAGCAGGCATATTAGGTAACTAAATTTTTGCCTGTGAAGGTCTCTAGCTCATAGCCGGCCAGTTGTCAATCAAATACATGATGAATTCATGAGCGGAATCCACACCATCAGTCAACCTTTTGCCACGGTGGAGACTCATGGTAACAGGACATTCCAATGAATTGACGAGACCCATTTGCACGGGCCTTCAAGGCTCTGGCTTTCAGAACTTTCGCTTTCGTTTGATTTCATCACATATGATGACACCTGCCCATGCACCCATGCCTGCATTCACCTCTTCCGTCTAGCGTCACGCAGAACGTCTGATTGGGGATGCCAATGCAGCCGAGCTTGTGGGTTCGGCTGCATTCCTCACGCTTGCGTCCCTTATGGGGTCCCGTTTTTAGGTATTATTGGGTCTCGAGGTGGTCTTCGGGTCCCCGGGAATCTTGGGGGGGGGGGGGGGTATGCCCTGTCCCCTGCCGGAGCCCATGCACGTACTGATGCATATAATACTTTGATAAGGGAGTTGGCGAATTCCCCCCTCCCCCTTGCCCATTACCGTGGTTACGCCCTTGGGGATAATTTCCGCTTGTATACGCATTATATGGCTCACAACGCTGCAAAACGTTGCATTTCGTGCCAGACGCGCCGCAACAGGAAGTGGGGGTGGGGGGGGGGGGAGGTGCAGAAAGCAGCTTGCCCACCCCCTTCCGGCAGGCGGGGTGGTCAAAAGTATTTTTCCCCTCCTCCCCTCCAAAGCGGTGCCTCATCTTCCCAAACTAAAGGACTATATCTTCCCTTAGAATACCAAGCTCCAAATCGAGGATTCCATAAATGAGCTAGAGAGAAATGAATCGGGTTCAGGAAAATCTTTGCTACATCAAGAGATCCGTCTTCTGAACCGTGAGGTCACGATTTATGAATAAGGTAGCCAATGCATTAGATCAGGAGGGCCAACGTTGTGTTGAGGAGATGTCTGCTGGCTCAAGAGGCCCCGTTACAAGCTTGGAGTCTCTGCTCTGGGCTAGGAGACACCCTGTATATTCACGAGGCCCCATTTCCGGAACGAAAACCTGCTTTCAGGGATAAGATCGCCATGGCTCCGGCTCAGAACATCCTGTTTTGAGATAACGAGGTCGCTTGGCTGGATTTTGAGGCCCCTCCGTGAATCGTAAGCATCTTGCTCTATATTTGGGGCCCCTCTTTGCATCACTAGCCCTTTTTCTGGAACAGGACGCCCTACTGGGTTAGCGAGACCTTTTCCTGGGCTATTATAAGGCCCACATTTTGATAGTGGCTAAATGTCGACACTTATTCATTCGGATATGATATACGTAGCAACTATACAAGGGGGCATATACCCTCAGTGCCCCTTCACCGTAAATACAAAACTGTGCTGAAGTTCCCCTATAAACAGGCCCCATTTTTTTTTCAGGAGACCCCTCGAAAATGCTGCCTCCCAACTCAAATTCGTAGCATTTCGTATTTAGCGCTAAAACGCCAATAGCGGATAAGTTGTAAAACGCCTTAAGACTGCCATCGCCGCCCTCAGCACCCTCATCAATTTGTCTTCCAAATCGTTCAAAGGTGTGCCTGCTATCCCTTGAAGCACAGAAGCACACAGGATCTTGCACTAACAGGTAAGCACGTGAAGACGTGATCTTTGTTTGGTGGTGATATATGGTAGCTTAGGTACAAGATATGGTGTAACCGTTTTTGCGCTAAAACAGCGCACATGCTCCATTTGTGATGTAATGGAAACACGTTATGCTGTCATTGGCTGAAACGTTCTGAGCATGATATAGGGAGTGCGACGAGGGGGGATTCAAGTATACCGAGTACGTTGTCAGGGCACAGCATATTTTTCAGGGCTGTTGTTCCTCGCCAACTAGCCCTAACCGGCCAGCTGGCGTGACTCCGTGCTGAGAAGGTGAGCTGTATAATTGAATGTTCCTCCGATGCCTACCTAGAGCCCCAGTCCACAAAAATATACGTCCACCTCTGCATGGCTTTACATCCACCGTGCTGGACGACTACGTGAAATCAGTATACGGAACCCTCGCTTGTGTTCATTGAACGCAGGAAGGACCACACTGTGTTGGATTCTCTGGTTTTGTGTGGTAAACCTTGTTGGCACATCAGTGCCTGAAATTACCTTCACAACATAACATTTTCTTGGAATGTTGACTCTCTGCACACTAATTTGGTGGCCTCTGTGTATCAAAATCTAAGCTCTGAGATTTACAGGGTACCTACCTTAATATTTTTGCTGTGTGTTGCTGTTACACAGGATGTGTGTGGCGTAACATTTTTTTTCTGTGGTAAGAGCCCTTTCCAGAAGCTGATGTATCGCTTGGCCTTGTCTATCTCATTTTATTGCAGTGTTTGTGCTAATTGTTTTTTTCTTTTCTCTGTCATGAACTAATGCAGGAGTTGACAACAATCAAGTCTGATAATCTGTTTTTGTAACTGACTTAGTGAATGTGACAGGAGGATGTCCAATTTGCAGGTACTTTTGGCCATTTTGACTTATGCTACTTGAATGGTACCATCCCTTACATTAGCTTACATTATCCCGTACATAGCAGCATCCATTCATTCATTCATTTATTAAGCCCCTAATTGAGCTAGCAGGATGCAAGAAATAAGCCATCAACATCCCACTTTTAGGCTTTAATTTGTTTTTGATATATTTTTATATGATTTGCAGCCATACCTGAGCATAATGTTGGACTATCTCAGACCTCTCTAGTCTCTCTCCCCTGTTATGCTTCTGTTACACTTTCATAGCCCCTTCCCTGCTCCATGTGCAAGGTAAGGTTATGATTGGCCCCCAGTGGAAAAAGCAACATTAATGAGCAAGCAACAACCCAGTACCTGGAATATGCTTGGGGATCTCAGGTGGGGACAAAGTCCGGGGAAAAGGTGGTGTGGAGGAACTTGGATTGAGTAGGTGCTCATGTTTTAGTGATAAATTGCCCTTGTGATGACTATTTTCTTGACCATGCAAGTTGATGGAGTTGCTGTTGACTGGTCATATCTCATGCTCAGTGCATTATCCCATCATGACAGGCCTTTGGAACCAGGTGCTTAAGCTTGACTGATTTTTTGTCAATTTGGTTAACTCAGCTCTTAGGTGTAGGAATGCCCAGTGATATGCCCTATGCTATGCTGCCTCTTTTGCAGTCGGTGATTACATCTCAAAATGTGTCCTTCAATCATGGTTAGAACAACTGAGTAGGGGGTTACAGTGAATGTAACTGAGTAACTGTGTTGCAATTTAGAGGCAAAAGGCTACATATCTTAAACAAACTTTTGAGCCTATGTGTTGGCATACTCAGACTAAGCTTGAACCCTAGTCTGTGTTCACTTGTTTTCATTATTGGGTTTAAGTCTTTCTCCAGTCTGTGTATAGTATGAGTCTAGTCTAAAAAATTAGAAATGCATCTGTGTGCTTCACCAAGATATATGAGTTGAAAATGACTGCCTTGAGTCAGCATTCAAATAAACTCAAACCAATGTTTGCCCCCTCTGGTGTATTTGACCTGCACCCACCCTGAGTGCCTATGATGTGTCACATCTAATTTTTATGTATGTGGCAGCACCTGGTGTGGCCATTTGAAAATGAAGGCAGTGATAATGACTGAATTGTCATTTGTTGGCTGTAATTTGAGGTAATGATAAGTCATCATCATTATTTTCTTTCTGTGTGCTTTTGTGTGGGAATGATGATCAAGCTTCAGTGGTGTGTGTAATTACAACTTTTCTGTTAATGCTGTAAGTCTGTCATTCTCATGTATTTTCTTTTTGCAGTTTCATCACATCGCCCCAGAAGCATTGAGATTTGAAGGGCTGATAACTAACTGTCATAGCCAAAATGTCAACAAATAAGAATCTGATGACAGAACTGATGAAAGCTGATTTGTATGGCATGCTTGGTGTTGAACACACAGCTGGAGAGAAGGCCATCAAGCAGGCTTACAGGAAAACAGCACTGAAATGTCATCCAGATAAGAACCCCGATGACCCAAAAGCTGCAGAATTGTTCTTGAAACTATCCAAAGCTTTGGAGATTTTGTGCGATGCCGATGCGCGGAAAACGTACGATCACTTGCTGAAGGCAAGACAAGCAGCTGCATTGAGAAATAGAGAGCTTGATAGTAAACGCAAAAGGCTGAAAGAGGACCTTGAAGCTCGTGAGAGGGCGGCAGAGACAAACAAGGTCGACATTCAGAAAGACATGGCCAAATTGCAAGCAGAAATAGAGCGGCTGAGAAAGCAAGGCTCCAGAATGCTTGAAGAGGAACAAGAACTCATGAGAGAAGAGTTGAAGAAAGAGAAAGAAGGACGGCATGTGGAAGATTCAGACGGATGTGATGGCTGCAGACTAAAGGTTAGGTGGAAAGGCTCTCATGGTGTGGAGGGCACCGAGGGCTACGACCATGATAAACTGATCTCGATATTCTCGAAATATGGTGAGGTGGCCGCTATTGTAGTCTCAAAAAAGAAAAAAGGCAGTGCGCTTGTGGAATTTTCCGACCCGCGAGCGGCACTGAGGGCGTCACAGTTCGAGAGGGGCTTGGCCGGCTGCCCGCTGACTGTGGACCTCATTGGCGCGCGCCAAAGTGAGGTGAAACCTACCACTGGAATGGCGTCGTCGTCAAGCGAGCCTCCGCTGTCTCAATCTTCCTTCGATACGTTCGAGAGCCTTGTGCTTCGAAATCTTCGACAGGCTCAAGAACGCAAGAAGCTCCTTGAAGAGATCAAGAGTGAAGATAGTTAGGTGCAAAACTGGGCGTAATGCTGCCGGCGTAGAAAGTAAATAATTTCAAATGTGTTTCAAAACCATTATGTGCCGTTTGTAAGACAACAAACATATCGATCAGATTGTTTGTATCGAACGGGAGCTTTCGAGATCATTGGGACCCCTTCGTCAGCCGTAGTCAGATAATGATAGGAAAACAGATTCAGGCACGTATTGAGAAAAATCTACTGCGACTATCCCAAAAGCTCCCGATCAGTACAAACAAGCTCTTTGAGATGCTAACCTTCGTACATCTGCTATGTGCCAGCTCAATAATATTTGGAAACTCATTATGTTGCATTGTTGTGTTTTGAGTGCGAAACACCTCTTCATTAAGAGTCTTAAAGCGGGGTTTCGCGTGAAGTCGTTCTCGCTTTTTTTGTGCTCGAAGTGCAACGATCACTCGATGACATTGTGTGTTTGCATATGTAAAGTAATCGTCCTATCACCCATTTGCAGCGTCGCTATGTTACCCGCATACCCGTGTCACTCCCAGCTTCACATGTAAAAATATATCGACATTCGGACAACGGTATCCACGTGAACAGCCGATACGAGGCACTCCGCTCATCTGCGTTCTTTCTCACCTGTACCGTACCGAGAGGGGTGCGTCGCTACCACCCCCCCCCCTCACCCGGTGTTGGGGGGGGGGGGGTGGTCGAGCGGTGACCTGTTGGCCCAGGTGCGCGACGGCGGCGGGACGCGGCGGCGGCGGCGGCCGGCGCGGGCTGGTGCCAACGGCGGCGCCATGTGGCCGCCTCCGCCATCTGTATGCGCCCCGGCCGGGCGCGGGATCGGTTTAATGACACTTTGGGCGTCCTGGGCGGGCCAAACGGCGGCCCGCTGATTACAAATTGTCACCATCACGCAAACCTCGGAATTCTTTGTCTTAACGCCACGGTTGTTCTTCGATGAATTCCTGACGCTTGATGTGCGTCGTTTTTCAGGCAGTGGCGCGCTAATGTAGTGTGGTTAAGTGTGGGGTGAATCTCATCTTCTTTGGCAGGGTGCGTTTTGTGGCATTTGGCAGTCCTTTACGAGGGGATGGAATGGTGGTGACGATGGTTATGGTTACTTATCTGTGTAAACCTCTGGTCCGATGGTTTCTCGGTAGTTTCATGGGTTTCATTTCTGCAAAAACTGCATACATGTGTGTGTAGGGCAGATGGTGACAAACAACCGAATTGGTGTTTGTTTGGCGGGGGGGGGGGGGGCAGCTGCCCTCCCTCCTTTTGCAGAATATATCATGAACTCGCGCGCGGATGTGGCGTGTGAAAGCAACGTGGTGAATAATGTCTAATTTTTATTATGCGTGGGCGCAAAATGATCATGGCAGTCGACGCGCCCGCAAACACCAATGAACAACAGAACAAAACAATAATTTTTTTGCGACACTCGACACCACTGTATTACCATGGCATGGATGACGCAGCAGGGAGAAAGTTTACCAATGGTGTGTAACATTTTTCGTCCTATATGTTCTCTCAGCACCCGTGGCTAAGTTAAACTAACATATCAATTCAGGTTCTAGGCGACGTGGATATCACCGGTTTAGTTTCATGTGTTGGAAACTCCTGCATAACGACGCTTTTCGCTGTATTTTTTGGCATACAAGTTCATCGCGACCGACTAAAGGTAATGGGAACGGGTAAGGCAGGACATCCGCTATGTTCTGAACGTTCATTTGTAAACGTCGATGCATCCGACACCATCTCAGAGCGCACCATATTTGATGGCATTCAGGTATAATATATTGAATTCAATATTTGTATATATATATATATATATATATATATATATATAATATAAATATTGTAATATATTGAATTCAACAATATATTGAAATAATTGAATAAAGTATAAAAGGCGTTCAGGTATATACGATATAACAGCACAGGCGTGCAACAATAGACATGAAGATGTGTGGTGCCTACAAAACATGTGAAGCATTCTTAAACATAGGACGTGGGTACGTGTTGCTCTACAGGCATGCAAGTTTAAAAGGCCAATATAGCTTTGGCTCCAGTGCGAGACACGACGCGCGTTTTACGAGCCAATTTATGTAGGGGCTTCATAAAATGCCTCCGTTGTGTGATGTCTGCAGTACAATCGACGGACGGCCCATTCAGCCGGCATGGTCGATGATGGCACGTGGTTTGAATTGAGGTGTCACAAACCCATGACACACGATGCGGCTTGGTGAATTGCAGTTCCAAATAATTTGGCTTAGACATGAAAATTGTCAGTTTCTGGTTGTGTGTTGTCAGTTTGATGCGACCTAGGATGACATAGTGCTTGACTGCTTGCTCCGAACTCGGGGCACAAAGCGTGTCACATTAGCAAGCTTATCTCAATTTGAAATAGGTCCGGGGCCAATTTTGCTGCAATATGCCAATTTTTGGAGTCTTTGTAACGTGACGTAGGATGGCCTGACCAGTTACAAATCATCGTGACCTCCAGACAAAGACGGGAACCCATAACTCAGGCACAGCCCGGAGGAAGCGTGTGTGTAAATATTGGACAAGTTCGGAAGAGTATGCATTGGCGGTGAATTGTATGGCGCCGCTTCGAGTTGACCGGAGTTATCGAACTGCTACTTTTTACACGAGATGTTTTGAGCATTCCTTGATAGGAAGTGGAAGTCTCTCCCCCCCCCCCCTTATGCCATTCGTTCCGGCCGGAGTTGCAGCAGAACACCCCAGACGAGAGGCGGGGACGGCTTGGGAGTACGTCACTCGGATTTGTTTTTTTTTCTTAAGTGAAACCTGAAATCTGAAATCTGAAAAAAAATAGAATGAATCAAATAAAAACATTGCATAGTCTTCTGTCGGTTGTAAAACCATGATATTTGCCAGCTGCACGACGTTGCAGCGAAAATTTGCATCGAGCCCTTCTTCGGGAGTGCCTTAACAAGATGCACGTTGTAGTCTTTTTGTTATTTTTCGGCATGGGCTGGGACCTTATCATTTTACGAACACTTATAAGTAACTCTTAGTCATACAGCCGTTTTATAGGAATATCGGTAGGCAAGTGGGCGCCGCCACTCTGATGTGTACACTCAGAATTGAGACTGGCTTGACCTTATTAACCGTTTGAAAATATTACTATTTGACTGAGACGTGTTGACTTATCGTTCTACCGGTTTCTTTCAATGTGTTTGTCGCTTCGCCATGCGCGTCAGGCATTGCGTAATGCCATCACAATAACTCATTTCTCTGACGCGCCATTAATACTACGGCGGCCCTCTTCTCTCTCGTGTCCTGTTCGCTTTTCCTTAAATATGAACATGTCAGCCTTTGATTTTACGCGAGATGAGACCTGTCAGCCATGAGTCACGACCGACAAACTTGTGAAGGAATATCCTCGTAGCAAACTGAGTTGGCTACCAAAGCTTCGAGTGGTAAGGTTTTATTTTCGCATATTATCACTGTTGGACTTCAGGCGTGGCGCTCATAAAGTGATGGAAGGCTTTCCACCTTACCCTATATGCTATAGATGACCTGTGCCTGCAACAATATCGTGCAGTACAGAAGTCCACATACAAAAACTAGTTTTCACTGGGACAAAATGTGATGTAATAACAACAAATGTCATCAACTGTATGCCATGGCATATATTTCATCAATCTGAAACCAGCCAACATGAACAGCGAGCTTTCGGCCTCTGTGAGGACATTTAAGGTGACGGCGCCATGAGTGGCTCCGACCAGCTTGGGGTGTAATTCGGAGCGCCGCCGCCAGGTGGCGACAACAACCGCGGCCGGTGCGGCCGCCAGGCAGCGTTTGTGGCCGTGTACGTGTTGCGGCCGCCAGGTGGCGTCAAGGGTTGTACCCGGCTGTCGCGGCACTCCGCACCGTGGCTTCTCAGGGTTGGGTCCTAGGGTGTTGGGCTGAAGGGGGTCACGGCCGCTTAGGAGAGGGGGTCACCCTTTATTTGTGCTCTGCTCGCGTACATTTCTTACAGTTTGAAGCGGCCAGAGGGCATGTAGCGTTCTAAGTCTTCTGATGATTTGCTTTGGCAATAAAGAGGGCGCGAGAGTCTAACATATCCTTCCTTTTTTGGCGGTGGGCTTCCGAGGCTGCTCTACGATGACGAATAATCAACCAACCGGGCTGCACGCAACAACCTGTGGCGGGCCGTGCATAGTCTGTTTGCCGTGGAGATCCCATCGCACGGCTCGGCTGGCCAGCGTGTGCCTGGGGTCGGGAGGCCGAAGCTCTTACACCTCAAACCATCCACGTGTTTTGCATTATCTACATCCGTCCGGCCGTCAGCCGCTGTCCGGCCGTCCGCAGGCTGACCCAGGAGGACCAGCCGCTGCCCGGCCGTCCGCAGGCTGACCCAGGAGGACCAGCCGCTGTCAGGCCGTCCGCAGGCTGATCCAGGAGGACCAGCCGCTGCCCAGCCGTCCGCAGGCTGACCCAGGAGGACCAGCCGCTGCTCGGCCGTCCGCAGGCTGACCCAGGAGGATCAGCCGCTGCCCAGCCGTCCGCAGGCTGACCCAGGAGGATCAGCCGCCGCCCGGCCGTCCGCAGGCTGACCCAGGAGGACCAGCCGCTGGGCCTGGGTCGGGCCGTGGCGAGCACGGCCGGCTGCACCAGCAGCGTGCTGGTGCACCGAGGCGGCGTCATCGACTGCGGACTCCACACCTGCCAGCCCACTGACGCCCAAGCCAACCAGGTGACAGTGCACGCGACGCGACACGGACAACCTGCGCACTGTTTAGTGCTGCCGCGTGGGCGTACCAGCAGGGTATATGCCAGTTTAACCGCGTCAGTCGGTTTATGTCCGTCATAAAAAGACGAGTCGATGAATCCAGGTGTGTGGTGGTGATAATGTTTATACGGCGCGAGTTAAAATGGTATAGGCTCGGATTTTCGTTGTATGGAGCCAAGCCCAGGTCACCTGTCATGCGTCGACAGGTCAGTCAGGTCAAGGTCATCACGCGTGCATAGAAGATCGCTCCGATTCATCGCGAACGTGCGGCCTGATCGGGTCGGGTCACAGCGCGGGGGCTGGCAGGTCGGCGCCTGTCTGATCCTTGTTGCAGCAGACGACTGGAGCTTGCTGACGGAAGAACAGTGGTGAGTGATGAGGCGCGGGAACAAGGTCATGCCCTTGGGATGGGTTCTTGGAACTCGATCGTAAGATATGCAGTGGTATGTAATAGACCCCAGCGGAGCGAGCGCCAGCCTTTGTCTTTGTCACAGGGTTTGACTCGTTGTCACAGCTGAGTTATTCAGCTTTTAAAGCCGTTGTGTTGCTTCCCGCGGTCCGAATCGTGGCATGGTATTATCACTGCACAGTGGCGTATGTGTTGCATTAAGCGCTGTCCATTTTCACAGAACATGAAATACAAACTGTCGGGACGTAAGATTGGCGCTGTTTTATTTGAATTTGACTTGACCGAGCCTTAAGCGCGTCACACCACATCCATAGAGGATGGTGAGACAGCGACTGCGAACACGTTTACTCGGTCATGCAGCTGCGTCTATATCTACGGATCGCTCTAGGTACCAGGCTGTTAGTGCACCATTTTGAGGCGCCATCAATGTTCTAACCAGCATCAGCAATGACATGTTAGAAATGACAAAGCGCCAATATTTGATGGTACTAAGCGATGCGTCGAGGAGCTCAACCATGACCATTTTGTTCTGCAATCGTATTCCCGCGCTGCACATGATTGCATTCGATTTCGGTTCACCATGTTCTCCACTCTAATCGAGCCATTCCTTTGCGTAGTGTGTCCATCGTAGATATGTGGGTTTCATTTGCCTTCAGGCGGTCAAGTTTAGCAGAGCTTTTCCCCATTTGTCACTTTTATCGTTGAGACAGTCGTTAAGGAAATGTATGGACAGCGCCCATTGACATGTCTGCGTATGGTATGACGCTGAATGGCGTCCCCGCCGAGCGGCGCAATCATTCGCTTGTCTGGACCGTCGCCAGAGCAATTTCCGAGCCATCTGTCCTCAGTCGGACAGTTGTAGACGAGTTATCTATTGTTCCTCGCGGCCTGCTGGCCGGCATACGCTCGCCGAAGGGTCGCGTGCTCGTCTGCGGCACGTGCTCGCTTCCTCCCTGGGGAATCCGGACGCCTTTTTCCATTGGTGCCTGCTACCCAGCAATGCCTCGCGGCCAGCGCATGCTACAGACGCCTAATCTCAAACCATTTCTCATAGACTGCAGATGCACGAACACAGGGCTGGTTGCCGACCGCCGACCGTTCTGGTGTAAGAAGGCAGCTGACGCCCACGCTGATGCGCTGCGTTTGCTCGGCCGGGAACCTCACGTTCGAGCTAGAGAAAAGCCAGGAATGGTAGACATCATTCTCAAAGTGCATGAAGAACACCAGCGCAGATAAGTTCCGGCTATCTGTGCAATCAATGTATGTGCCTATCCCTGCTTTCTAGCGAACAGTGCGACTTGAGGGTGAGGAATCTGCCGTGAAAAACAATGATATTTTCGTACATGGATTGACTGCGTAGATGGCTTCAACTGATCGACATTAGTTTTGTTGATATGCATCTGAAATGACTTCGACATGGCAATAACTTAAACATTTAAGCACCCGCCTTTTGTCCATGAAGGTGCGCAAGGTCGGGTAGCCCATTTAGTGCCAGCTATTTAGGTATTTACAGCGTTCTGACTTGGATTTCGGCTTCGCTCGAGTTTTGTTTATGATCGCCTTCCCGCTGGTCGCCTTGGAGGCGGCGTCGAGTGCTTCAGCTAAGGCGACAACGCTGTCACCCGCTCGTAAAGTGGGCCGTCGAAGCGGGCGGCAGTATATCGCATCAACGCTTGGCCGCAGAGGCAGCGATACCGCGGCCCACTCCGCCGTCGCCACGGCGCGAGCGACCGGCCCGAGCAGCAGGAGGGCGGTGCGCCAGCTGGCAACGTGCTGCGACTCCCATTCTTCCGCGCCGCACCTCTCAGTCCGAACGGGCCGTCGTCCCCGGCAGCCCCGCGGCGACGTCGCCGAATCGCGTCTCCAAACAGGCGCCGTCGGCGTCGGCGGCGATCGGCGCCGATTTCCGGGCGCCGGCCGACGCGATCGGGCCGGCCGCGGACCGAGGCCGGCCGACCGGCGGCCGTCCATCGCTGGCCGGCCCGTTACGGACAATAGCGGACCGGCTGGTGCCGGACGGTGCGCGAGAGACGGCGGTCTTGACGACCGGCGGGCGGCGCGCCGGCGCGCCGGCGCACCCGCTGACACGGCCAGGTCGAGACGGTGCGACGGCGGCTCGCAGGAGGTCTGCCGCCGCCGCCGGTGAATCCCGTCGTGATGCCGACAGAGGCCCGAGAATTGCTCAAAAAGTCGGCGAGCCTATCCCTCAATGAATGCGGTTTTTTTTCTGTACATCACCGTATATTTCTATACTAATCGTATATTTCGAAACACGTGGGATACTGATCGCCGCATGTCTAGTTGAATCTCGGTGGGTTTTATCCGCGCGACGGAAAATGTGCATGCGTTTTCCCGCAGTCAACTCCGTGAGATCCAGCGGTGTGGAATCGGTTTGAGAGACGACTTTGAACAGCACTGAAGACAGGCTTTGTTGGAGCCGAGTCGTTCATGCATCGATGACGTTTATCCATCAATCTACGGGTTGGCAGTGTCTGCTGATATGTCCGGTGTCTACGTCCCCGGACCAGTAACCGTGCTGTGCGTTGAGCAGCGTTAATCGGCCAAAAGCGCGAGTGAGTCTCCTCGTCCACACAGTGGATAAAGGCAGAGATGAGATAGGAACGAAAAACAGCAGGTCTTGCGCAGTAGTATAGTCTTCCACATGTTATCTGAGCTGTGTAATCACAGGCAATGAGGGCGTCGTAGGTACGCGGTGAGCCCTTGTCGTCGCTGCATTGCGGCCTCTCGTGCTGTGGTATCTGTGTGCATTTTTATGCCACGCAGACAAAAAGCTAAAATGCAGGTCATGTTCCATCTTTAATCTTCGAGAATTCTTACGCTCCACACGGCTGCTTCGCGCCGATGGCCCATTTCGTCGCTCATTGTCTCCTCAGGCCGCCTAAAGTGCACCAGCCGGGGACCAGCTTTAATGCGGCCCTCAAGTCGGTCATTTCAGTGCGGCTCCGAGTCTGCCCGTGCTCTCGACCTGCGTATATGAAATGGCGGCATCTGACGGCTTCGGCCGTGATCAAACGGGCGGTCGGATTGCGGCCGCCTCGGCGCCGGTGGCCGCCGTCCGGACCGATCCCAAGAGCGTGTCCATCCGTGCCGCTGCCGGGGCGGATCCGGCGCCGTCAACGACACGGATGGCCCCGTCCAGAGGCCCGTCCAGCGGAGGCCCGGCTGTCGGCGGGGCGGACATAGGGCTCTCCGCGGCTGGCCCCGCCGGGCCCGGACACACGCCCAGCCCCAGGTCACCCGGCAGGCTCCTCTGACTCGGCCGGCGTGCAGACTCGGGCTCCTGCAGCCTGCTCCGCCTCCGGTGCAGCAGCAGACAGCAGCGTTCCCAGAAACTAACGATGTGGAGCGTCTCGGCTGGATCGACAAGCTGACAAATGTGCCCTAAAGGCTCGTCCAGCAGCTCGGCAGACTTATGCAAGTTGTTGATGTTCCTGGCGTTGTTCGAATATCAAACGGACAGAGATGGGTGTTCTTGTTATGCATAATGGTTGGCATGCATGATTCGTGTAACGGAAAGGCGCGTGCAGCATTCAGAAGCAAGATGCTGAAAGATATCGCCGTTGCCCATGACGCGCGGCACGTTATGTTCATAAATAAGGGAATTCACGCCTATTTGTATAACGAGGGTAGTTAATTGGAGGCACCACGATTTCCGAACTGCCAAAAAAGGGAAGCCGGAAGTGAAGGGCTGCTGTTCATCAAACTGTTAAATCCAGGTCAACAGCTGGTGACAAGTGTCATTTTTGACGATTAAATCAATTATGGCTTGTGATTTGATAGATAAGTAACACGCAACATGTTTTGTTTCAAAAACATGCACGGTGTGTTTTCAAAAAGCGAGTGGATTTTTGACCCTACACTCATGTGCTATAAAATCGCTTTGATTTTCCCGTCGCTGTAGTCTGACAGTGTGACACAAGGCACGCGGTTCTGCTTTTGAAAATCGCGGCATAAAAACAAGACGGCACGGAAACGTGTTAAGACACATCTTTAAGCTGTCTTCTTAGCCATCCGATCTTGCGTCCTCAGTCCGGATATTCCGTTCCCCCAGTTCAGAGCCCATATCCCCCGGTCCCAATTCCGCGTCTCCCGCTCCAGATCGTGCGTCTCCCGATCCAAAGTCCGCATCTACCGCTCAAGACCGTATGTACCCCGATCCAAAGTCCGCATCTACCGCTCAAGACCGTGTGTCCCCCGATCCAAAGCCTGCGTCTCCCCATCCAATCGTGCGTCTCCAGGTCCGGATTTTACACTCTCCGATTCCCAACGTTTATGTCCAGCTCTAATGCATTTATTTCCCGGTCCAAAGTCTGCGTCTCCCAATCGGAATCCCGCTCCCCCTGGCCTCTCTCCGGACCCCGGTTCTTCTCTCCCGTCCCCGGACCTCGGCTCTACTCTCCCGTCCCCGGACCTCGGTTCTCCTCTCCTGACCCCGGACCCCGGTTCTCCTCTCCCGTCCCCGGACCTCGGTTCTCCTCGTCAGTCCCCGGACCTCGGTTCTCCTCGCCCATCTCTGGACCCCGGCTCTCCTCGCCCGTCCCTGGACCCCGGCTCTCCTCGCCCGTCCCTGGACGGCGCATCTCAGCGTCAGTCCATCTGCGTCTGTCAGCAGCCGGCGGAGTGCCGTTTTTACGGCGTGTCGCCTGGGTCCAACGACTTGTTTGGCAGCACGATAAGAGGGCCGGCCGACCGGCCGCCGCGCTGAAATGCAGGCCAGCCGCCCGGCCTGCCCGCCGGCGGAGTTGGCGCCAGCCGAGGCTACGTAGTGCGCCGGTCTGGAGACGGCACCCACGGCAGACGTCGGGGCAGCTGGCGCCCAGCCGTGCCCGCCTACCCGACCGGCGAGCTCATCGCGGTATTTGAACGCAAAGCGCGCATTCATCTAACGTGTATTTCTGGGTTTAACCCAGATAGGATCACGCAATCAGGCACCCAAGTAGTGCGAAGGGATAACATCCGGATTTCAGGCATTACACCAACAGAGGCGACGGATTGAAAGACGAAACCAATACAGCACACGAACGACTCCTGTCGTATCCGACATCACAGAGGTTTCCATCCTTTCCGCACGCATCACAAAATAATTTAACATGCGGAAGGAAGAGCCACATACGAAGATAATAGCGAAGTAAATCTGCTTTGATCACAGAATATTCATCAATCATTGAATAGCTACGCTAAGCAGGCGGAAGTATATCACGCACGAGCCGTACACCTCACCGGTAACAAATCCGCTACAAACCAAAGGAGGCTTCCCTAAAACGAGAAAAAATGGCGGATTTACAACGCAAGGCGACAGACTTCTACCCTACCACCGCAGCGGTGTCCGACGCCGCCCTCGCAGAGGCTACGCCGCCGTTGGAACCGCCCCCGACACTTCCTCCGAGGTCACGCTGTCCGCAACTAATACCGCGCGGCCTTCCCGACGTCCCGGCAGGCCCGGCCGGCGCCGCTCCGCCCGCGGCGAGCCGACCCGGGCGGCCGACGCCGAGTCTCACGTCCACGCCCGGACGACCAATCCGCTGCTCGGAAATAGACACGGCCGCCAATTAAAGCTGGCAATCGGCCGGTCCGTCCACGTGGCTGCGGCGGCCACGCGGCGGCCGCGCGCCGCGCACACGTCCGGCAACGCCGCTGCGGCCCGCTGCCGCCGGCGCCGGCATCTCGCGCCGCTCCGCGCCGCGCACGGCGCCTCAGATGCGCGTCTCGTCCAGCCGCGTCACGTCGTCGGCGGAGACGGCCGTCAGCAGGACGTCGACGCGCTGGTCGTCGGCGACGACGGCGACGCTGGGCTTGGGCTGCCGCCGCAGCGGCGAGGCGCCCGGGCTCAGTGATGACAGCCGCCGGCCAAGGATCTTCACCGCCGATACCTGGGCGCGCTGCGAGGCCGTCAGGCAGTTCAGGCCCAGGAACCTGGCGGCGGACGGAGCGGCGCGGTCAGCACGTGGGGGCGGGACAGCGGGAGGTGACGGCCCGCGCACGCGCCGGCGTCAGCAGCGGCGCACAAACAGCACCCGACCCGAAAGACGTGGCCCACACAAGAGCAGCGCCACACAACGGTCGGCCGCCGCCGTTCGCGGCGCAGACCCACCGTCGGCAGTCGACACACACGGCACATGCCGCCCAACACACTGGGCATGCTGAAGACTTCCAAGCCTGCGGAATGCACAGGCGTGGTCGACGCACGAACATCGCAGTTGCACGCAGCTGGCGACGAGCTGAGCGCTCCGCGCTGCGGGCGCCGGCAGCGCGGCGGGCGGCGCATGCCAGCACGCCCGCTGGCTAACGCCCGATCAAAGGAGGCCGGGCTGACCGGTGCGGTCGTCGGGGCGACAGTGCCGAGCGTGGCGAGCGGCTCCCACGGCGCGGGTGCTGGCTCGCGTGAGGGAGGAGCGGCCGGTCGTCGGGGTGTCAGTGCAGAGCGTGGCGGGCGCCTCCCACGGCGCGGGTGCCGGCTCGCGTGAGGGAGGAGCGACCGGTCGTCAGGGGCGTCAGTGCCGAGCGTGGCGAGCGGCTCCCACGGCGCGGGTGCTGGCTCGCGTGAGGGAGGAGCGGCCGGTCGTCGGGGTGCCAGTGCCGAGCGTCGCGGGCGCCTCCCACGGCGCGGGTGCTGGCTCGCGTGAGGGAGGAGTGACCGGTCGTCGGGGCGTCAGTGCCGAGCGTGGCGGGCGGCTCCCACGGCGCGGACGCTGGCTCGCGTGAGGGAAGAGTGACCGGCCGTATCGCTGTGCGGCGCCGCGGGGCCGTCCACGCTATTTGGGACCGAGCGGGTCACCTCGCGGCGCCTAGCCAGCGTCCGCCTATACCGGCGTGGCAGCCGACCAGGACAGTGAGCTTCAGCTATTTGTCATCGCTGTTAAGAAAGTCCACGGAAGAGTGGGACACAGCACCACGCATACAGCGCCCGGCGCCTCTGCGCCAGATACGGAGAAGCATCAGCTGGGAGGGCTCCGGTTCATTGACTGACGGAGATTCCAGACCTGGTGCGTCGCGCTCCATGGAGGGGCGTCGTAAGGACGTTGATGTACCAGCGAAACTGTCCGAATGCTTTCACACCGGCGCTTTGGCAGAGCGCTGCGCTGGTGAGCCGGCCGCCGCTGGCTGTCGAATTCGGTGAAATGATTTAAACACGATGGATGACTTCTAAATACGATACGCGACGTCAGCCCAGCAGCCCGTCTGATTTTACTTGCATGAAGACAACGTAGGCCAACTGTTACAGATTGCCTTTCACAAGTCGATGCATCGCTTTGACCCACCAGCTATGACAACAGATTTCAACAGCCATTACGGTGCTTCACAGACCAAAATAAAGCAGATTCGTTTACGTGATGGAGTGGCTCCAGAACTGATTATCCTCTGAAAATCTACAAAATACTGAATAAGGCCAAACATAAAAGTGATACCAAGCAACCACAACAGCTCCTTTTACGTTTTAGTAACGACCACTCCATTGCTGAGACGACTGGACTTCTTCAATCTCCAACGTTGTCGCATGAGGCAAATGACGCGGGCAGTCCCCAGCCCGGTTCACAGTCAGCCCGCGAGCGCTTGTTGCGCGAGCCTGGAGCTCGCCCTGGCGTCCCGTCAACCTCCCCGACGTGATCCCCGCGGTCGGGCGGCGACCGCGACGCGCGGACGGAGCGCGGCAGACCGTCGACCGCGCCGACGTCTCAGCCGGCCGGCACCGACCGCGACCTGGGCGGTGGCGGTCGAGACGCCGCCGCGACCGGGGACCGCGTCCGGGGACCGCGTCCAGACGCACCGGCCAACCGCGACCGGGGCGAGCGCGGCGGAGGCGCCGCCGCGACCGGGGACCGCGTCCGGGACCGCGTCCAGACGCGCCGGCCGACCGCGATCGACCCGGCCGCGGCGGCGCCTCGCTTCACGCGGTGCCGCCGCCGCTCCGCGGCCCCATCAATCAGCGCCGCCGGCAATGCCCGGGGTCAATACGGACCGGCTTGCTAAGACGCCAGCCCGGACGGATGCGGCCGCCGTCGCTCATGAGCCGGGCCGGCCCGGCCGCAGCGGCGGGGCGGAGGACTGGGCGGGGGCGGCCGCGGCAGCCCATATATTGTCGACTTTACGACTTGAGTTGTGCGACAACAGCTCCGGAGGCCCCGGGGTCCCTCCCGTCGCCGGGCAGGAGTCCAGCTGCAGCCCACTGGTGCCGTCCCCAGCCGCCGCCGCTGTCCGCCCTACCCTGTCGGCAGTGTCTCTGACGGACGCCCGGCGGCGCCGCTCACCTCAGGCAGACGTAGTACACGATGATGACGCAGCCGACGGCGGCCGTGCGGATCCAGGCGTCCAGGTAGAAGCGCATGACGGCCCAGCAGCCGGCGGCGGCGCCGCACATGACCGTCACCAGCACGGCCGTCTGCAGCCAGTGGCGCACGGTGAAGCCGCGTCCCAGCCAGGCGCGGCCGCCCTGCTCCAGACGGTACGCCGAACCGCACACCTTGCAGCGCAGCTGGCCCAGCGTCGTCTCGCTGCACTGTGGACGGGCGCAGGCGGCGCAGCGTCACAACCACGGCCGCGCGGCGCCGGCGGGCCGTGCCCAGACGGGGCCGTGGGCGGGCGGGGGTACGGCATCGGTCGCTGCTTGGTGACACGCGCCGGGCGGCACCCGAAAGCGGACGAGGTCGGCAAGCGTGGCTCGCTTGAGGAGCAGCAGTGGCCCAACGCTGCCTGACGCGGCGAGCTTTTCATTGTTGGCTTTTATCTTCGACAGGAAACCAAGATCAACACCAGGTTGCATGCTTGTGGCTTCTTTAATTTCTTAACGACGCATTGCAAGGCACGCTTCACATGCCACGAATCAGCTGTGAGACGTAATTGAACGCCGATGAAAACTGCCGGCCAGGGCCAGCGTACCAACGCGTTTGCTGGGCTTCACAATTTGGCCAAATCGCTACCAGCAAGGAAACAAAACCACACAGCAATACACACGCGCATTCTCATCAATACCCATACGCTCCACAGAGCCACTGTAGCTTTCAAATGGCCAGAATCAATAAACGTTACGGGAAGAACAGGCGACATTTTCTGTCTCGCATCCGGCACACCTCACGTCTCGGCCACAAAGTCCTCAAATAAAAACAAAGAAAAACCTTCAAGTGGCGTGAACTACTGAACTTGAACCTCGGCACGGGGGAGACAGCAGCTTGTGCTGCAGAGGGCCACAGACCCGGCAATGGCCGCCGCCCGGCCACGAGCGCGGCCGCGGCGGCCGGCGCATATTAAGCCCCGACGGCGGCACGATACGACTAAATATGCGTCTGTTCAGCGGTCGGGGGCGATGATTATGGCGCGCCGCGACCTTTGGCGCCGACGGCTGGCCGCAATTTCGGCGGTTGTAACAAAGCCGCCCTGTAACGCGCTAATGTATATTAGTTCTTGTGCGGAGCCCCGACCGTGCCTCGTACCTCCCCGTGCGGCATTTATCACCGGCGACGTGCAATACGGTGGACCGCCACGCTCCATGGACTGCACCACGCTCTCGTTGTCTCATCTGCCCCCCTCTATCTCCCCCTCCCACGCACTCGCCCCTCCGCGCCGCCGCCCGCCGCCAATTTCAGGCCCGGCAGCGCTGGCCCGCGCCATTTCCGACAAGTGCGGCGCACGTCAGGCGCGGCCAATGGCGCGGCGGCGGCGGCCGGGCCCGTTCACGGCTCGTTGGCGGGCCCTGCCGCTGTCTGCCGCTCGGGCCCGTCGCCGCCGCCGCCGCCCGGCCAACGACAGGTCGGCATTGAGGCCCGCCGGAGCGGACGATCTCGCGACCCGCTGACGTGACTGACGGTCGGGGCGGGGGCTGCCTCTCGCCAGCGCGGCGGCGGGTCCGGGCCGCGCCGTCGCCATGCCGGGCGTGCGCGGGGGCGGCCGGTGGGCGGACGACCGGCGCTGAACGGCCCGGCTCGGCCGCCGGCCGGCCGCGCTCGCAGCCGGGACCGCCGCCGCCGGCCGCGCTCGCAGCCGGGACCACCGCCGGCCGGCCGCGCCGTTCAGCCGGTGCGCAGCGTCGGCGCCGGCGGGCGACGCGTTCGAAGGTGCTGGCGGCGGCTGAAGCGACCGGAGCAACCCGCCGGGCAATGTCATGACGATTCCGTCAGCGAGAACAGATGACCTGGCGTGATGCCTCCCGCGCGCGCGCAACTCACGTGTCCCTTAACGGGAGCCGACGAATCCAGTTACAGTCTTCGTAAGGCTGCATTGAAGCCAACAAACGAAGCTGCCGAGTAGTAACAAACTCAACCGTAATAACAATAACCGTTAGAGCTGTTCATCACTGCGTGAACCTGGTACATCGCAAACGTTACGACCCCAGTCGATTCAGTGGACCCCGGGCGTCCGTGAACGGATACAGAGCTCTCCACGAGCAGCCTTTGGCGAGCGTCGGCTCCCAGCGTGTCCAGCGGTGACGACTCTTACCCACTCCAGACCCTAAACAGCGGTCTGGACACGCCCTCTCAGACCCGCGAGGGAGCGCCGGTGCCGCGGCGACCGGCCACCCACCTCCATGAGCCACTTCTTGAGACATTCGTGGTGGACGACGCTGGTGCTGCCGCGACACTCGCACGGCTGGATCAGCGGCCCGCTCGCCTCCGTGTCGTTGTCGTAGCAGATCCAGCACTCCAGCAGCGACTCGGTGCTGCAGCCGCCCTCTGCCGGCACACGGATCACGGGTCACACACCCGGCGCGCCGGCGCAGGTCACCCATCGCTCGCCGACCGACACGGGCGCAAGTCACCCACCGCTCACCGACCGACACGGGCGCAGGTCACCCACCGCTCACCGGCCGACACGGGCGCAGGTCACCCACCGCTCGCCGACCGACACGGGCGCGTGGGAGTGACGGCGCTGCGTGAAACACGATCAATCGGTCACCCCACACATCCTCGCCGGGGTTCGACAAATATTGTCTGGTTTCGGGACAATAAAGTGGAAAATACTACATTGATATGTAGCCGCAGGCGTGCTCAATGGCCCTGCATATTCAGGGCGGACGACGACCGACAAACACACGTTTGACCTCTGACATCACGACAGGGCAAGCCTAAAGCCTGCAGGCGGCAAAGTTGGTGGGCCAGGACGAGACCAGAGTTGCAACAAAACAAGTCTCCAATCTCCGAGACTGCTCCGAAACGGCAGCTCAAACGCCATCGAGATCCGTAACAAATCCGCCGTCCGACAAGTCCACTCTGACCCGACCCCGTCCGTAAGCCTACCGTCTGACCTTTCCTGCCGTAATACATCGCAGGCGACACCAGTCTCCCATGACCCGGCAGCGCCTCCTCGCCCGCCCGACGCCACGCCGGCGGCCAGCCCGGCCCCTCGCACCGATCCCAGCGAGCCGCCCCCGCCCGCCCGCCGCCGCCCCCGCCTCCTAATCGCACAAGTTGGCGGCGGCCGTCCCCCGCCCCCCATTCAAATGGGCCAGCCCGACATGGCGCGCTCCCGTCGCGAAGTTGCGCCGCCAGCCCGGCACCCGCCGGCAGCGGGCAGCGGGGAGCGGGCGGCGCGACCGGACCCGGCACTCACGTGCGTCGTTGAGCTTGCGCTCCTCGTCCCGGTCGATCGGCGAGCCGGCCGGCTCGATCTCCAGCTTGCGCAGGATCTGCTTGGGGTTCAGGATCCACAGCTGCTCCGGCCTGCCGAAGGGTCAGGAGCAGGGATTTAGCACACGTGAGCGTGTCAGGACACTGCACGCGACGCGGCCCGCCGTTGCGTGCGCAATCCGTGAGCAAAACTTCGCAAAGCCCGAGGCTACGGTGGATTCGATCACTTTTAACAACCACTAGAAATGAAAATGTCGACGTAGTCAGATAATCAACGTCGTAGCCGCAAGCAAACCCCAGCGGCGACGCGAAAATTTTTAACCCGGCGTGTCCCACACACGGATAAGTCCTTTCCTTATCACAATCACCGCGTGTGATCCCACGTGTGAAATGCGTGATCACAAACCCCACATCGCATCAGCGCCCGGCGGCACCATTCCACGCGCTGCTCTCTCCATCCCCAGCGAGCCGTACCGTATCGAGTTCCACAGAACGCAGGGGAACCACAGCGCCACGCCCAGCTCCACGATGCGGAACACCAGGTCGTGCACGTTGCGGCTGGCCAGCGTCACCCTGACGGAAGGGGCTCCGGTTAGTCGGCGACGGCGGGGCGCCGGGCGCCCGACAGACGGGCGCCCGGTGACATGGCGCCGGGCGACCCATCCAACTTGGCTCATCCGTCCCGGGCACCGGCCCGTCCAGTTTCGAGTTAACCGACAGGCACGGACGCCACTCGGCCGGCCGGAGGCGCGCAGAGGCGGGGCGCCGTCGCGCGTCACCCAGCGGCGGCGATACTCACTTGTATCTCCAGAACTCGCCGAGGATGTCGCTGAAGAGGAAGCAGACCGTTATCATGAGCATGATCGCCTGCGAGATCAGGCCGAACCGCGACTGGTGCAGCTGTGACGTGTTCACGTTCTGGCCGTTGGTAGTCACGAACTTGCCGCGTACCTGGCGACGATGACGTGTGTGAGGAGAGACGACTGCGGAAACAGCGGCAACAACACGCGGGCACTGCGCGAATGTTTTGCGTCACCACGCAGCCAGCGAGCCAATTAACTTCACACCAAACACTTTTTGGTCTTCACATTAGTCATGATCACCCTTCACTCGTAACCAGGCTTAAAAGGCAGCTTTTCTCTCTCTCTCTCTCTCTCTCTCTCTCTCTCTCTCTCTCTCTCCTCTCCCTCTCTCCTCTCTGCCTTCATCTCCTCTCTCCTCTCTCTCTCTCGCTCTCTCTCTCTCTCTCTTCTCTCTCTCTCTCTCTCTCGCAAAAGCAGCATTTACTATCGAAACAACGTTCCCCAAAGCAGAGAGCATGATGCTCTTTCACCGCAGGTCGCGGGACACACACATGGTCCATGATCGTCTCGCGCAGCCGCACGCGTCACAGACAGTGGAAAATATGTACCACACAAACGAAGCTGCAAGCATAGAAAGCTGGGCAGAAACCCATCAAAGATACACGAACGGGGATGCTGCTGCTCGTTAGTCGGTTTTCGGCTGGGAGAGAGCAGAAAAAACAGCATTCTACCAAGTTGTACAGGAGAGCAGCTAGAAGGGCCAGCAGCCGCGCAAGACCCCAGCCGCGTAATCCAAGCCAACCACCGCTGCAAGCAGCCGCTCCTCTGTCCGCCAACATCCGCCATGTAGATGTCGCTTCAGTCCGGTCGTCAGACGGCGCCACGATCGCGCGGCCGGACGCCGGGACACGGACCTCCTGGCTCCAGGTGGCGGAGGTAGAGATGGCTAAGGCGGGCGCCGAGTCGGCGCCAGCCAGCCGACCGCAGCCCAGGCGCACCTTCTCACCCATGAAACCGCCATGCACCTGCGTCCGCAGGGCGGCCAGGTCAAACGGGACAGGCAGGCACAGCCCAGGGCGTCAGCCAGCGGAAGCGTGCGGTGGAAGGCCATGCCCTAGTGCAAAGCGTGGCACGTAGCCCGAGCGTTAGTTAATTGCAAGGTGCAGAGATTCGTTCTCAGTTCCCCACCGGGGACTTCGTGTATTCACAATGTGGCGGGCTGATGATGGGAACAGTTAATCGGTTCGGTTGAAATGTATCAGAAAGGTTGAGCGAGCCCCACCGAAGCCTTTCATTCATCTGGAGCGGTGACATGGACAGTGTATACGATAGGAGAAACCCCATTCTATGATTATCGGGTCAATCGTGGCGATCCAGATTAAGTCCAAGTGGGTCAGCTTGGAGTGGCCATCGACGCTGACAGGTGACAGCATGGGCACAGCCCAATCGCCTGGGTGGGAGCTGCTTATTCCCTCCCGCGGCTCCAGACTTTTCAGAGCTCCAGAGTTGCTGTCAGCGCGAGCGCAGAGAAAAAACCCGCCCCGCGCATCCGGGGTCGCGTACAGCCGGGACGGAGTGGACCGGCGGCCGGTGAGAGGCTGCGTGTGAGAGCGTGAGCATGCCGGGGACGGCGCACGGCCGCGACGGACTGGACCGGCGGCCGGTGAGAGGCCGGGTGTGAGAGCGTGAACATGCCGGATGAGCGTGCCAGGAGCAAACGCGGCTGCTGCCGGGACCAGGCCGGCTAAAGCACGTGCGTCGCGACCGGGTCCTGTCAGCCTCACACCGCCGGCCTTCCCGCATGCCAGCCGGCACCCGGCGCCTCATGCGGACCGGCCAGCGGCCGCTCGGCCCGCTCACCTTGAAGTACACCTCGACGCCGTAGATGAGGAAGAAGACGACCACGATGAAGAGCAGCACCGCGTAGCAGCCGTTGAAGACGTGGATGAAGAAGTCCTGTCGACAGCGCAGTGCGCGGCGGTCAGCGGGTGGAGCATCGACAAGCCGCGGGTGGCGGCGGGCCGTGCTAGCCGCGAGCTCTCATTGGTTGGTTCGAAGCGGGCGTCGTCGACGGCTCGCTTGGGTCAGGAAGCCCGGAGGCTGAGCGACCGGCGACTGGCGACTACGAGCTCCCGTTGTTATCGGATCCGTGCTGACACAATCCAGGAATCAATGTAAAAAGCAACGCACCGTGAAGAGGGTCACCTTCACCGGAGAGAAAAACAGAGCAGACCGACGCGCGACCTAAAACAACAGGCCATAGAGAGTGGGATGCGTGCCAGGTGAGCACCTGACAACGGGAGCTGGCGACCGGCGCGTACGCGCGCACACCCGACAGCGCAGGCCGCCGTGTTGAGCACCAGCACCCTGATACGATCTCCGCGACGACAGCCCGGCCCGCGGCGCCTGCCGCGTCACGCTCGCCGCCCGGCGGCCATTGTAGCGCCGTCGGGCCGGCCATTGTGTGCATGATCGGCGTCCGATCGGGCGCCGGCCGGAGCTGGTGGAGCCAGCGGCGTCATGCAAGGCAGCGCTGGCCGGCGCGCCGCAAACGGCTACCGTGGGCCGGGCTGGTCCGCCCAGGGCCGGAGCCCGTCGGAGCCAGCGGAGCCAGGGTCCAGGGCCTGGTGCAGAGCGCCGCAGGCCAGCGGGAGTGCCTCCGTGGCCAGAGCCGCGACACCTCCGCCCCAGGGGCAGGGTCCGGGCCCTCAACACGCGTAATGCGCTGGGGCACACGGCTGACGACTGGGAACGCTGCCATTGTGGGCTGAAACGGACGCCAGCAGAGACACCGCCCTCCGCACCACGAGCGCGATGATTATAACTTGTATCTGGCGCTTGGCCTCACGCACCTCGGTCAGACAGACCCTTCGCTTGGGGACAGTCACAAGAGGAGCAGTGATACGACATGACACTACGGTGCGACCCCTGCGTGTCAGCCATGGACCAATGAGGCGTGGACGACCATGGCTTGCCCGCAGCCCAAACGTCATTACCAGACGCGTCAAGAGCGCGGTTTGGAAGGTTGGCACCGGCCCGTGAAGGCCCGTCGCCGCGACACACGACATCCTTGCGACCCAGAGCGTGAGGATGATGATGGTGATGATGACTGGGGCCTATGGGGCGCCGACTACTGAGGCCATGTCGCGCCCCCGAACGTCAGGATTCGCCAACAAATGGGGTTGACTGCAGCCGCCCACCGCATATTTACCTCCACCAGAGAATTGTGGAAGCGTCACACAGCGCGCGTTCGGAATGATGCTCACAAAACCATAATCGAAACAGCGTGTCGAAGCTCCGCCCAACAACCATGCTTGGCAACAACCCAGCCAGCACCAACATAGGCTGTGTCAGCAGTCTGCACCCTATAACTGCCTTCATCTGGTTTAAACATTTGTGCAGTGACCTTCAGAACGAAAGGCGTGAGAAACAACAGAAATGTTCGTGGATGAATGGCATGAGTGCAAGATCCCATCAATCTTTTGGGTCATTTGATTCCCTTAGGAGCCATACAGAGGCGGTCCGCCTGCGGCCATGTGCCGGCAATGGTTCGGCAACAGGATAGCTAACGTCGTGCTCGCGCATCTTCACATCTCTGAGGAGGACTTTCGAGCTTCAAGTACATTTGCAGTAGCTTTGTAGGGCACACCGCCGTGAGAGCCTTGCAACAGTAATGTGAGCAACATCTCGAGATAACGAAAACCATTTTAACGTATCAAATGGCAAACATGAATGCAAGCCACTTAGTGCCACTTCTCGGCAACAGGCTTAAGCTGCCACTTCACGCTAGAAGCCTCAGGCTAATAAAGGAACAGCGACGCCTTTCAGTCAACACAAAACCCTCTCCAACTAGTTGCAGGAAACTAGTTATCGCCGTGCGTGCGGTACACCACAAGGTCCCCCGGATCGCCGAAGCATAATCATTGTGGATTAAATTTGAAGAGCAAGAGAGCGTGTCGAAGCCATAGATAGCGCTTCTTCGCTTCTCGCACGGCCGACATCATCGGTACGTCCGCCAATAGCCAATCAGAGACCAGACCTTTGAAAAGTCCGACCAATCGGCCGCAGCGTGTGGCGGCTCTGCTTTGATCTGGCCGACCACGCCGACAGCATTCTTGAGCAGAAGCTTTGTCCTAAGGGCACCTCGAACAATTATAATGAAGCGCATAGCCTAATTCTATATTGAAAGCAAGTGTCAAAATCTGTCACCCAAGAGTGTAATTTGGTCACAAATATTAATGAACAAATATTTTCGTTGCCGGCCGCTAAAACCAAAGTTAATCTGCTTGAACATAAAACGCCTTTCAACGATGACAAGCAAGGAGTCCGACGGAACAAGTAAGCGAACACCACTCTTTAAAATGGAGCATCTGATTCAAGAAAAGTAATTTTGATATCCGAATTAAATGAACGAACCCCAGACACTTGCGTGCACAATTAAAGTTGTACCTACAGTGCGGCACTGTCCCTCGACCAGGGACCAGACAGAAGCCACTGTAACCGGGTACTTCTACGCGGTGGCCATGAAAGTATTGCGACCAAAGAAAACAAAACGGTATTTAAATTAAGTAACTATACACTTGCGACCCGTTCTGATTGCTACAATATTATCTTGCTGCATTGCGAACCTTTTGCTCTTAACGAACCTTTTGCTTTTAGTCTGCACCAATGAAAGGCTCGTACCACTAATATGGATCTGCATCACAGCAGCATCACGAGCTACGCTCAGCACAGTAGATTGAGGAAAGAACTACACATGTGTGAATGCCTCTTTTATTCCGGATTCGCGAGTGGAGGCGGGGGGGGGGGGGGGGGGAGGAGAGAACGAAACTGCTGCGAGAAATCAATGGCCGCTCTACAAAAAGTACTTTGGAAGCATTTGGAGCGATTCCACTAATTTTCAATAAGCAATTATATAGTCACGATGCTTCCAGAGCCAAAGCACTAGGGTTTGCCGACATGTGCAACTAACTAGGACAGACAATCCCCTCCAGTCAGAAAACAGCTTCCATGAGAAACTTTGTGAACGGGGCACATGGCAACCGGCCTAGCACACGCGCGCTGACAGCGGTCCCCGCGCGGCCACCCGGGACAGCCGTACCGCCCGGCCCATTTTCCCAGCCTACTGCGCCAGTTTTCCCCGGGCCGCTCTCGTGAGGCCGTCCGAGAAAGGTCGCGGGGGAATCCCCAGCCGGGCCCGCGGGCGGCCGCACACGCACGTCCTCGTCGACGCCTCTCGGGTGCCGCTAACGAGGCCCGGCGGCGCCGGCCGCCCCGGCCCGGCCGCGTGCCGCGGGACGGGGCCTGACGTCGACGCCGCGGCTCAGACCGCACCCGGCCGCCGCTGAGCACGTCCGCACCCGGGCTGGCAACGCCGCAGGCCGCTGAGGCGCCCGGCACGGGTGTGCGCGCGACCATCGGTACCGTTAACGGCACCCGTCACTCGCGCACGGCACGAAAGGGCATCGCCGCCTTATTCATAGGCGCCGGACAAACACGGGCTGCATGATGCCGATAACGCTTCCAGAAAGGCGGCGACCGCTCAAACCCGTCGTGTGACACTCGCCGTACACTGGGAGCGCGCCTCCAGCACGTGAACACTATCTAGACATATGCCTGGCGAGCACGGTAGAGCCTGCGCCTTCGCATCCAGACTGGACGCATCCACGTCGCCAGCAATCACCGCCGGCCCCGCAGCGCTCCTCCTTCCGACCACCACCACCAGCGCTGTTCAGTGGACCGTCGATGACTCCGCGCTCCTCTCCGCAGCAGACTCGCTGGTGCACGCCGCCGGCGTCGACCCCTTCCCGTCGCCTCGCTCATGCAGAGGCATCTGGCGCCAAGACGGCGGCGTGGCTGACCCCGCGGCGCGCGGCGACGGTCCGCACCAGCACCGGTCGCCGTGTTTGGCGGGTAACGGTCGCCGCCAGCCGGACCAGGCGTCCCCCCCCCCCCTGCCATGACCCCGCCGCCCAGCCCGCCACGGCCCGTCGTGACACACCACCACGCCGTGCACGCGCTGGGGAGACGGCACATGCGCCTCATCCAAGGCGGTATGTGAAGGGTGCACTGACCACGCCCCCGCCCCCCGGCAGCTTGGGAGGTTCTGAGTGGGCCGAACTCAAGGCTGCATGAGCGGCCACGTACACTGGGGACTGCAGCGTTGCACGCCTGTACACAGTGCATACACGCAGTCCGCTTAAGAGCTGCCATCATAATGGGCTTCTCCACTTACGATGGCTGTTTTTGACAAACACACGGCAAGGTTAGTGATCGCGATGTTCGTTGAATTTCGCTGAGTGCTCAGTGAATGCTCCAGGGGGAACACATATTGATCGACAAAAATTCCGAACGTTCCTCACACGCTCCAAAAAAAAAAACACCTCACGTACTTCCCCCGCCGACGTTCACAGAGAATTAGCGATATTAATCCCCTGATAACTGTACAGCAAACCAGCACGGGACCGCACCGTCTGCTCCCTGCCATCCAGCGTCTGACACAGTCTCAGTCTGCTCCCGGGGAACCCCCCAGGCCGTCAGCGCCGGGGCCAGTCCGCGGGGCCGGCGGGGCCGGCGGCGCGGGCGCGCGCCTACCGTCGGCCGGCGGCGGCCAGCTCACCTTCTGACTCTCCGTCTCGTTGACGGTCAGGATGATCTCGGCCACCAGCAGGCTGTACGTGATGACGTTGAAGGCGAGGAAGCCGAGCAGCGACTTGCTGAGGAAGCGCGGCCGGTCCCACCGGATGTCCGTCAGGTGGAAGATCTGCCGGACACAGCCGACCGCGCTGTCAAGTGCCTGTTCACGGTCCGACACAGCCGGCCACAGGCATCGCGGAACAGTCATCATGGCATCAGTCATCACCAGAAGCTTCGGTCAAACGCTCGTTGCCGAAAGCTACATTCATTCTTTGGGATGACAACCTCCTGGTAGAGTGCGCTTGTAGCCGGGTACTCCTGATGTTACTCGCGTTCCTTGTCCGAGACACAAGCTATGTTTCCATCTTATTCTCCAATCTTACCCTAGCACAGCAAACCGTCACCAGTAATGAATCACTTACGAAAGCGGGCGCAAGTGGATTAGTTTCATGCGACTGCATCGTTTCGTAATTGACCACATACGTATGACTTACTGGCCACCAAATACCTGTAGTGTGCTCATACATTATGATATTGACATAAAGGTATTAGCATTAGCTAGCGCGTCATGCGTAAACAGCGCGCATTCACACCTTGCACGTCAAAGTTGTTGTCTCTTCATCACTTCCAAACAATACAGGAACGTATTAAGGCATGCCATTATATCCACCCACGCTTGTCTTTTGATCCATCAATTTATCACACCGCAACCAATCACCAGCACTTGAGCGACACGTAGGTGTTAGTCACCGGCACAGAGCAGGTCACATTCAGACCGGGCCTGGGCAGGGCATTGCTTAGCATCCCCACCTGGTTCTGTCCCTATCCAACCAGGGCTGATGCTGCTACGGTAGAACTCATCATGTTCCGCTCTAAAGGTACCCTACAACTTTTCTGGAGATAAGCTTCAGATTTTAGAATTTCCTATGTCTACGAGCATATATGTGAATAACGTCAGGCTAGCCATACATGCCACTTTCCCAGACAGTTGTGAAAACCAAGTATGAGGAGTGCATGTGATACGGCTACAATGTATAACTCCACATGATGTGCAGCTACGTACGTGGATTGCCCAAACCCAACTAAAACGAAAATGCGTCATAGCTACTCTCCAGCGCATCTTTTTTTTGTTTTGTGTTGTTGAGGCCCGGCAGTCGGGCCAGGAACACCTTTATTATTAATGGTCGGTGTCGAAATGGGGCAAAGCACACTCCTGCGACGCGACACAGTTCAGCTGCGCTGACTTTCTCTTCCTCTGTCACTTCCGTCGCCCTTTCCTGTCTCCCAGCGACAGCATGACGCCACTCACGGTGCATGGCGGGCAGCATACAATCAGCCAATCACAGGGACAGGCAATGACCAGTCACAGGGCCACGTAATGACGTCAAGCCGCCAAATAAAAACGCACGCTGCACCTTGTCCCGGTGCCCCACCGGCCACCTGGGCAATCAATCGCGGCATGACTCAGAGTCCCGGCAATGTCACACACCGCGCGCGCCGACGGGCCCAGGTCCCGCCCGGCCCCGGGTCCCGCCGGTCCTGCTGGCGCGGCATGAGTCAGAGTCCCAGCGAGGTCACACCGCGCGCACCGACGGGCCCGGGTCCTGCCCGACCCCGGGTCCTGTCGGTCCTGCTGGCGCCGCCTGACTCAGAGTCCCGGCGAGGTCACACCGCGCGCACCGACGGGCCCAGGTCCTGCCCGACCCCGGGTCCTGCCGGCCCTGCTAGCGCGACCCGGTCGGTGGCGCCGGACTCGGTCGTACCCGCGCGGCTCGGCGTGAGGCGATGGGCTGCCGAGGCCGGCCAGGGCTCGCCGAGAGGCGGCCGCCGCCAGGCCAGCGGCATCAGAGCTCCCCGTACACCGGCACACGCCGACGCCAAACACCCCAACGGTGCCGCAGCCCAACAGGGTCGCGGCTCGACACACCACGGTCGTGTTTTCACAGATAGACGTGACTGTACACGCGCGCTGGCAGTTCACCGCCTGCTGCGTTTGCGACGTTCGTTCGGCGCAAAGATCCAGCACACCATCAACGAACGTCCTCCAGCCTGGCCATTTTCCTCTACCCCGTTCGCCCCGGCCATATTTGGATTCCGTCAGTGACGCAGCGAGCAGGGCAGTGTCGGGCAGCGCTCCAGGTCCGTGCACGCCATACTGCGCATCGCTCCATATCGACCGGCGTCCTGCGACGCACAGCACGCCTGACCGTGACCAACACCACGGCCAGGAGGGCGGGAGGTGGAGTGGAGCCACTTCCCAACCACGGGGCAAAGTCCAATGTCGCGGCGTCACTGGCCACGAATCATACCGCGTGCACCGCGAGGAACGGGGGTGCAGCACGAGCGGGAGTTGGAGACCGTTACCCTTCCGCGTTCATTACTTTGGCTGCAGTGAGATCGTGCGGTTGCTACGCCATGATGTAGCACGAACAGATGTCCAGTATTGCCCCGCTCGCCGGCCAGCGCGGTCGCGGCACCTCACCAGGGCCGGCTCTCGCTCCCCACCTGACATCGCCCGGCTCGCTCCGGCCCGACCAGCCGACACACCTGACCCAGCGCAGCTCCGACAGCGGCGTTCCTCGCGCGGCGACAGCGCGTTACGGCGGCGCACTCTCACCAGTATCTCACCCGGTCCGCGGCCGCTCGGCCGCTCAGTCCATCGGCCCATCACGCGGCGGCTCCCAAATGCACGGCCGTCCGCCATGCGACGCCGGGCGCCCGCCACGCGGTTTGTGGGCCACATCCCGCGCATGTCGGCGTTGCCAAGGTCCCAGCCACGGGTCTGCAAATGAGGCGGGTAGGCCACGGCGCGTCAGGCGAGCGGGAGCACGCCCTGGAAGCGTGCCACCGATCCAGCCCGCTCCGACGGAGGGCGCGCACGCCCTGGAAGCGTGCCACCGATCCAACACGCCCCGGCGTAGGGCGCGCACGGCCTGGAGGCGTGCCACCGATCCAGCACGCCCTGGCGGCAGGGCGCGCACGCCCTGGAGGCGTGCCACCGATCCAGCCTGCCCCGACGGAGGCACGGACGCCGCCGAGTGACCGCGTCATGGGCGGGCTCGATGAGCAACCAGCCGTAACGTTTCGATTTCGAGCCGCCGCTGCACACTAATGGAGAGAACAGGCGACCGCCGCCCACCTCCTCCTCCTGATACCGGCGAGCGGCCCCACAGGAAAAGCATGCCGTGACGTCCGGCGGGTGTGCCAACGACCCGCCGTAGCGCAGTGGGCGAGCGAGCTTACTGCGAAGGCGCCGCCGCTCGGCTGACATTTACACGGGTCACTGCGACAGAGCACACGAAGGCCGCTGACTGCGCGCCTCTCGGCATCGCAAGTATTGCAGGGGCAAGCGGACCACGGGGGCAGCGAGTGAAAGTGGGCGGGCGACAGCAGCAGCAGCTCGACGGGCGCGCGCCAGAACAGAGCAGAGACGTGCCGCGGTCTGGGCGTCCTCAGCGGCGGCGTCTGCGGTGCTCGCCACCTGGAGCGGTACACTCTGCCCCTCAGGCGGACCGTCGGCAGCAGCGGTGTCTGCGGTGCTCGCCACCGGAGCGGTACGCCCTGCCGCTCCCGCGGACCGTCGGCAGCGGCGGTGTCTGCGGTGCTCGCCACCGGAGCGGTACACTCTGCCCCCCCCCCCCCTCCGGCAGACCGTCGGCAGCAGCGGTGTCTGCGGTGCTCGCCACCGGAGCGGTACACTCTGCCCCTCCCGCGGGCCGTCGGCAGCAGTGGTGTCTGCGGTGCTCGCCACCGGAGCGGTACACTCTGCCCCTCTCGCGGGCCGTCGGCAGCGGCGGTGTCTGCGGTGCTCGCCACCGGAGCGGTACACTCTGCCCCTCCCGCGGGCCGTCGGCAGCAACCGCCGCCGATCCACCGGCCTCCGGGCGGCGCGCTGAGGCAGACGCGCCGCTCGGCCTCCGTACGCAGCGCTCTCAGGCGGTCACCGCCCCCGCCTTAGTCATAACAAGGCAGAAAACCGCTGACGGAGGACACAATATTGTTTTCGGCGCGACGCGTGAACCCGATCCGCTGTCTGGACGACACCGGGTGGCAACCGCACTGCCGGCGGCCTGGCGCATCCCCGGCGGTGACAGGCGTCATGCGCCGTGTCAGGCGGCCGCTCCGACACCTCGACAGATGCCATAGCAACGCCAGGCCATCCGTAGAGGCTTCTGTCTAAACATTTCTTCTTTATGTTCGCAGCACCATCAGCCACCTGCCCGGGTGGCGTTGCGGTCACAGCCCTGGTTGAGCATAGCTCGTTGTGTTTGAACCGACCACGGCACGCAAGCATTCCAAACAGCGGAAGGATTTTCCCCAGTCAGTTCTCCGACCTGTGCTACAACTGGGGATAGCTGCTACGGGACCATGCAGAGCGACGGTGCGGTCGTCCGTTGTGCCCGTCTTCCCTCTGTGTGGTTCCCCACATGACACTACGTCCCGCGCCTGACGTGCTTGCCCCTGGTGTGATGATGATCACTTGGGCTTTGGGGCGCACCGACTACGTTGGCCATGTGGCGCCCAACCCCCTGGTGTGAGGCGACGGCGGCGTGCTGACGGCTGCACCTGCGAGGCGGCACGGTCCGCTCTGCCCGGGAGGACGTCCCGGTGCAGTGTATGCAGCTGGCGTCAGTCTGCATATGTGCGGGATGGTAACGCCTGCACATGTGCAGGCGTTATCTCCGTGACCCACTGCTCGCTCGTGCAATCTGCTGTTGACTTCGCCGCCGCTCCCCTTCCCCCCGTAAATAAACACCCGGCCCCGCCCCCTGTGACGTTACAGGATGCCGCGGTACCGTGGCCGGCCGTGAGTGGCCGGATCCGTGACCTGTGGCCGACTAGTCACGCCGCTCCGGCACCCGCGTGAGGCTACACGGGCTGCTGCCGCCAATCCCACGCCACACGCGGTACTCTATCAGCTGTTTGCGGTCCGCGCAAAACCACTCCACCCTTACGTCAGACATCCATTGGTTATGCCTTCGAGATACCCACTAAACCCTGGTTCAACTCGTCAGTCATTGATAAGACGGTAGAAATGGCCTTATTCGTCAGAGAAAAACCAGGAGAATGGAAAGATAGCGGTACTGCATCAGAGAGAATGGATACTATATTTCCATTCCCCTGGTTTTTGTCAGAGGGATAAGACTATTTCCACTACCTTATCGCTGTGAATAATGTTCCCCATAAATGCACTTAAGAAGCTTTTGTCAGTCATGGAATGAACCACTCACAAGTCCGCTTCAAACAGGGCAGTCTTGTTTTGCCAGCGCGTGATTAAGAAAGCAGACAACATTCCTAAGCGACAAAGTGTTCCACCAAACGATGCCAAACGCTTAGTATTACGCTCGTCTTGCCTTCGACCGCAGACAGCCCCCGATCTCTAGAGCACCCTCAACCCACGTGCCCCACACAGCTCTACCTGGGCCCAGGCCTGACCTGTGGCGACCCCAGCCACGAGGCGTGCGTCCCGCGCGGCCAGCTGGACCGACCCGCCGGCCCAGTGACGGGACGGCGCGGCCCTCCGCGCCCTGCCGGACGGCGGGAGCGGCCGGCGTCGAGCGAGAGGCCCGCGGCCCGCCCAGCTCGGGCGGCACACCGCGCTGCTCGTACCTCGCTCGGTCACACGGGACCGGCGCCAGCGGGACCAGAGGCCAAGACCACCTACTGGGCCGGCTCGCAGCGCCCAGAAGCAGCGTGGAGGCCCGGAAGACATGACCGAGTAGCGTCGGTCCAGGTCCCAAGAGGTGAGAAGAGGACAGTGGTTCCGGCTCCGGCAGCAGCCACATACATCTCCCCCAGCACAGCTTGGACACGAAAAGCGGTCAGGCAGCACGCCGTCCCGTGACCCATACGACTTGTGCAGGGTGCCCCTCCCCCCCCCCCCCCCCCCCTGCTCAGGATATCATCGGCATCCCCCTTCACGGTCTCTTTCTTCGCAGGCGGCCAAGGGGGACGCAGCACGCCAAAACCCATCTCACACAATCGCACGATTTGGCCGGCGCCGTGGCATACTGCCAGCCGGATCGTCGACCAACAAAGGCGAGCCTGCCATGAAAAAGTCGGTCACAGTACGTCTACACCCGTGAGGGAGCATATCCGCCCAGTCAGCATCTGGCCTGGCACGTCTGGACACGCCGATTCCCATACAGCACAGTCTGACGGCCGGGCGCCGTGCCCTATTGGCTGCCGGCCGTCACCGCGCGTCAGCAGGGGACGGTTACACGTGCGACTGAGGCGGCTGGGACGGCCGCCAGCGCGGCCAGCGGGCGGCCCGATCTGGGACGTGTGTCGGCCGGCTGGCCGCAGACAGGGTCAGCACCGCTGTGGTCAGCAAGGGGGCCAGCACGGGTCAGCACGGCTAAGCACGGCTCAGCACCGCCAGTGTCTGTGACCTGTGTCCGGCAGCCGGGCTCTCCTGCCATTGAAACAGGCCCTATGACCCCATGTCAGGATGGCAATATTTCCGACGAACGAGATCTTGTTACACTTGGGTGCCTGGCAAGAAATATGACCCGACTTAGTGACTACACCCTGCTGGACGCAGTCCGTATACAGACGTAGGAGCCAGCTGCAAGCACACCTCAAGCGCGACTTGGCGCACGCCAAATAGAGGACCAAGACGGACTCCAGCACTGTGGCCTCTTTCTCGCAAGGCTTTTAGCAAGCTCAACTTCATATGCCGCCAGCATTGCGGGTAATAACAAATTGCCCGTCCCGATGGTTCAGTCGGTTAGAGCGCCTGCCTTCCGATGCAACCGACGGTGGCAGAGTGGGTTCGAGTCGCTCTAGGTGCTCGCTATTTGGCATTGACAGGTATGGCCTGCGGCCGGCGGCAGCGCTCGCGCCACAGGTCAGGTGACGTAAGAGGGCAGGACGGACCAAGCCGAGCATTGCGGCACGTTAGACTTCCGCACCACATGCTGCCCTTGACCGCAGAATTGCGCAATCGGGTGGTCTGGGTCAGAGCTCACACAATAAACAAGCACTGCTTAGCGTGAGCTCTGATCCAGAAATCCTTCCATTCAAAGGTTCGGATAAAATCTTTTTTAAACATGCGGACCATTGTGCTAACCGCACGCGGTGTGAATCCCCGCTGATCCGTCAGTGATTCACGGAATCTCTGATTGTTTGTAGCCCAACATCAGGCCGCATCTGAAATTCTGCGACCATTTGCGCCTCACATCCGCCCATGAGACCATTGCCGCATCATCCGAGACTGGACCGGACCGGACCGGACCGGACCGGACCGGCCCGGACCGGACTGGACTGGACTGGACTGGACTGGACTGAACTGGACTGGACTGGACTGGACTGGACTGGACTGGACTGGACTGGACCGGACCGGACCGGACCGGACCGGACCGGACCGGACCGGACCGGACCGGACCGGACCGGACCGGACCGGACCGGACCGGACCAGACCAGATCAGATCAGATCAGACCAGACCAGACCAGACCAGACCATACCACACCAGATCGGGCCGGACCAGTCTGCCGTCGCCGTCGGGAGCCGGCGTTCGGCGGTCTCCGGTGGCTCACTCACCTCGGCCCAGAAGCAGACGATCAGAGACGAGCCGGTCAGCAGCACAGCATAGTAGGCGCTCAGCAGGCCGGCCGTCCACTCCTCGCCCATGTACTCCTGCGCGGCAGCGTCGGCGGCGGTCAGGGTCGGCACGCGGCGCGTGAGCGGAGGGGTACCCCACCATATACGGGAGGCAGGGTACCCCACAATACACAGGAGGCGGGGTACCCCGCGATACACCAGTTGGCAGGGGCAGCATGCACCCAGTGACAATGCAGACGGCACGCCCCAGCACCAACGGTGGTCGCGACGATTGGATACGACGGTGTGTTAACTTTCACCCGCGGCGCAACATGGCTTGAAAACGCTCCGTCTCAGTGGTGCCCATATAGCACGGACAACACATAGCATTACATCAGCCCAACGATGGAACAGCACAGGGTGAACAAACTATTGTTCTGCGTTCAGCAACACACATAAACACACACACACACACGAACGCACGCACGCACGCACGCACGCACGCACGCACGCACACACACACACACACACACACACACACACACACACACACACACACACACACGCACGCACGCACGCACGCACGCACGCACGCACGCACGCACGCACGCACGCACGCACGCACGCACGCACGCACGCACGCACACAAATAAATGCTGAAGAGGGATGCAGACGGCAATTCGACAATAATTCCGCCTGTACAGTTACAACCATGAGTCATACCAGCTATCCGCTTCTGGCCTCGGAGGAGAGCGTTTATATAAACTAAGCACATCCCACCTTCTACAACCAGGCATCCAATCAAGCCACATCCTATCCCCCAGCCGAAGTGTCAGTTGTTAAGCCTAGACCCTCTATGACTGAAAGCCTTCCTACGGACGCAAAACTGCAGCAAACCCTATCAAGAACCACACTGCGACTGTCCGGGCCCAACTCCTCCCCGCATTATTAAGACTTCCCAGACTTAAATAGTTATTGAGCCTGTTCTTGTCGCTCCTCAGACCTCCTCTAAGCTATTCTGATCCTTCCCGTGGCTCCTACCTCCTCCAAGCTTCTCAAAATTCGCCGTTCACCTCTTCCAACGTCCTCCGGAGTGAAGGGTGCTTTTTCGAAGGAGTTAGGGGGAGGCTGGTGGTGAACATTAATGGCGCAGTTCATTCATTCAGGTTTTTGGCTTCATTTGTCACATAACAGAAACAGAGAACTGACGTGTAAATTGGAGCAGATATATTCTAAGTGATCTCCTATATTTTCCTACCGGTATAATCATTTTTATTGCCTACATGTACGATTTCGAATAGTTTCGTTTTCAGTTTAGCCGTTAATGTCACAAAACTGTCTACTAGCTGCGCGCAGACAGCTGATACCTACTTCGAAATCGTTTCCGTGGTAGCAGATTCAAGCGACTCAAAATTTATCTCATCTTTTTTTGGAGAAGCGATGGGAGCAGACCGACTGTCTTTTATCAGCGCCATGCGCAGACGGAGGTCCGCAGAAAGTCAACAGGTCAGCGTACAGTGTTTCGTTCCGCCCGGCTTATCTTATCTGGCAGCGCCGCGGGGCCAGTGTCGTCCCGAACGACCGGCCGGCCGTGACCCCCGCCCCCCGCCCTGCCCCAGCCCCGGGCGGCCCGATAGGCCCCGCACTGCGAATACACCCCGGCTGAGCCGGCGCCACGGTCCAGAGGACAGGCGCACCTGACGCGGCAACAGCGGAGGCCCTGCACCGACCACGCCCGCAGCACAGGCGCACCTGACGCGGCAACAGCGGAGGCCCCGCACTGACCACGCCCGCAGCGCGAGCGGGTCCCGAGAGGCTGGAGCGAGGGGGCGAACGCCGCGCCGGGACTCGGCAGCACACTGCGTTCACCACCGTCCGACCCGATTCAGAGCACGCAGCGCGGAGCGCGGAAGTTCCAGAGGCCCTGCGCGCGGACACCTTTCGCGTCGAGACGAACGCGCCACAATGGTCACGACTCCGGAGAAGAACGAGCCGCACGAGAAGACGAGTTTTAAGCAGTGACGTTGGCAACGTGGTCGATGTCGCAGGCTCGCATTAGAGGATGCTGCAGCAAGCACCGTTGCATGCAAAAAGTACGCCACGGAAACGGTGTCTCTGTAACTGGCGGCCCCACTTCCGGCGATAGGCGGACAAAAGGAGCACGCGGCTGCCGGACTTGGCGACAGACTTCTGGCGCGCGCTTTCTTGCGAGCGGCAGACACTGACGGCCAAGTGCAGGGCGAATTCGCTCTCGCTCAAAAGCGCACGCAGCGCGCCCTCGTCCCGGATCCCAGTGCCAACGCGGTGGCGGGACTGCGAGTCGTTGCAGTGCTGCAGCCGAGCCGACAGCCCCATAATTGGACGATTTCGCGCATGGCCGTGGCGAAGTCGCCTCAAACGTCTCACCGTCCGCTTGCTGCCGTCGAGCCCGCGGCGGCCTGTAACGGTGTCCGCTGCCGACGCAGATGAAGCTTCATGCCGCGGATGATAACGGCGCGATGATGACGGTGCGATAGGATGACGGACGGACGTGGATGACGTGCGATAGGATGACGGACGTCGGACGTGTGGACGCCACCGCGTCCGGAGTGTCCGCATCCACCGATCGTCGAGTGGAGCGACGAGCGCGGCAGTTTGGCCCGCCGGCGCGAGGCCGTGCAGCGCGGGCAGGGTGGCGTACCCCTCGAGCTTGTCCCGCTAGGGTGTGAACCCGCGCAGGCTGGCACCCTTCTTCGGCCTGGGGGCGGCCGTCGGTGTCACACCTAGCCCTCTCGAGCCGCTGGCCGCTGCTGGGCCACGGGCAGCGCCGGGACGCCCAGGGCGGTCAGCATTGGAGTCGACGGCCGAGGAGCGAGGCTGTCTGATTCGGCCGGAGCCAGGAGCCGCTCCTTCCGTTGTGCTGAGGTCTTGGCTTGGTCCTGCGGCAGGTCCGTCAGGCGCAGAGGTCTGGCCGAGGACGTCCGGACCCGTGGTGGGGGCTTCTGCCATCTACGCCATGTTGCAGTGTATGTACACGGTTTGTTTTATAAGCCACGTTACGGAGACGGTGTCTGTATTCGTGACGTCAGCTCTCTCGCCGACGCTTCAGACATGACTGAATCCCAACCGCCCGGGAACGGCCATCGGCGGCCCGAGCCCCCCCCCCCCCCCCCGTCCCCCGACATTTCAAACAGGCTTGCGGCGGTGAATGGGAAGGAACGACTGGAAGTGCCTCTGCCCCCACCTCTTCCCCCTTAAGGACAAACTCCCGCGCCCCTGACGAGCGCAGGGCGGACAGCACGCCGGGCTCCACGGTCAGCGATAGGTCTTCACGTCGCCAGCGCGCCAGGCGAACCGCCCGCGTATACCGCTGATACGCCGCGCCACGTCAGGTGATCGAGCCGACGCAGTGAGCTCGTGTCCCCGCGACATCCCCCGCCACGTGCAGCCCGTGCCGAAACAGCGCCATGACAACAGGGCATCGCGGGGATTCACTCTCCAAGGTCAGCATCAAGTCCAAACACTTGGCTAGCCTGCTGTCGGGAAAGCTCAATCAAACAGCGGGTGCAGATGCACCGTAAAACGAGTGCGTACAAAGTTGCAGCCCAACTTCCTGTCCGTTGTGATGTTGATAGTGCCTTCAAATACCCCCAACAGCCTGACAGCGTCTGGCATGTACCGTACAAACACACTGGACGAGTAACCGACAGTCACGGCAAATCGGCAAGAACCGTGGCCACGCCAAAGCATCCACACACGAGCCAGAACGTTTCGTGAGTTTCTAACAACAGAGCGCACTCCACCTGGTCGCGGTCCGACGCAAGCGCCGACCGCCCGCCGTATCCCGTCACGCTTCACATGCCCCTCTCCCCCCACCCCCCTCGGCCCCACCGGCGACCTACCGGGGCGGCGAAGTACATGCCGCGCAGCACGGCGGCGGCGAAGATGAGCAGGTAGAGCGCCTTCTGCGTGGTGACGCGGCAGGCGCGAAGCAGCGAGGGCGTCTTCATGCGCGCGAACTCGGCGCGCACACACAGCACTAGCTGCGCCAGACACACGGCGCCCAGCAGGAAGAAGAAGGCGGCGAACGAGATGTAGTACGGCAGGTTGGGTGTGTCGCAGAGAGTGCCCTCAAACTGGATCTGAAACAGGGGACGCCAGGTGAGCATGTGACGTTCCGAGGGGCCCGGTGCGAGAGGGTCAGACTGGAGCCCCGTCAGTGGGGACAAGGGGAAAGGGGAGGGGGCATGCGAGCCTCTGACTGGGCTGCGCCAGTGTGTGTGTGTGGGGGGGGGGGGGGGGCAGAGGCAGCTTACGACGACGCCCCAGACTGGCAAAGCTCTTACAGAAACAGTCCAGCCGACCAGCACATGTCAGCAGAGTGGCAGTCGGGTATCGATCGGATGATTTAAGTGGTTAGTGACACGGCAGCCGCCGCCAGCTGTGCACAAGCTGCACACCCGGGCAGGAACAGCGGCTAACCGGGGGACCAGGGGAACGGCCGACCGGGCGGCCGATCAGGGGACAGGTCACGGCCGGGGGAACAGCCGACCGGGCGGCCGATCAAGGGACAGGTCACGGCCGGGGGAACGGCCGACCGGGCGGCCGATCAAGGGACAGGTCACGGCCGGGGGAACGGCCGACCGGACGGCCGATCAAGGGACAGGTCACGGCCGGGGGAACCGCCGACCGGGCGGGCGGATCAGGGGACAGGTCACGGCCGGGGGAACGGCCGACCGGGCGGCCGATCAGGGGACAGGTCACGACCGGGGGAACGGCTGACCGGGCGGCCGATCAAGGGACAGGTCACGGCCGGGGGAACGGCCGACCGGGCGGCCGATCAATGGACAGGTCACGGCCGGGGGAACGGCCGGCCGGGCGACCGATCAAGGGACGGGTCACGGCCGGGGGAACGGCCGACCGGGCGGCCGATCAAGGGACAGGTCACGGCCGGGGGAACGGCCGGCCGGGCGGCCGATCAAGGGACGGGTCACGGCCGGGGGGGACGGCCGACCGGGCGGCCGATCAAGGGACAGGTCACGGCCAGGGGAACGGCCGACCGAGCGGCCGATCAAGGGACAGGTCACGGCCGGGGGAACGGCCGACCGGGCGGCCGATCAGGGGACAGGTCACGGCCGGGGGAACGGCCGGGGGAACGGCCGACCGGGCAGCCGATCAGGGGACAGGTCACGGCCGGAGGAACGACCGACCGGGCGGCCGATCAAGGGACGGGTCACGGCCGGGGGACTGGTGTGTGATGGAATTCAGCGCAGCCGGTCCCTGAAATCACCCGTCCCAGGGCGGACCTGAGCCGTCGGACGTGCGGGGCTCGCCGCCGGCGGCAGACAGGCGGCGCTGCGCGGCGGCACCGGAGCTCGACACCCGAGACAGCAAAACAGTCCACGGTCTCGAAAACAGACCCGACTTGGGGCCGGGCCGCCGCCGCTCGGCAGACACTGCGGCGTGATAGTGGCGTCACCACGAGCCGCGGATCCACACGCGCTCTTCCAGGCAGTCGTCTGGACAGAGCAGCCCGAAGCGATGCGTGATTGGGACACCGCGACACGTGACGGCGTGACGGCGATAGGCGCGCCACGGCGCTAGCCAAACGTCACATTCCGACGTGATGCGAACGGTCCATCAATGTCACTGATCAAACCAAATACACAGGCCTGATCGACGCGACAGCTGCCTGGCCTTCCAAGCGCTGAAAGCCGACTCGAACCGCGAGGCGTGAAAACCGTGAGGTAAAAACCCCGCCGGCGGGGCGGAGGGGGGGGGGGGGGGGGGGTTGAGGCACACGCTGCTTTGACAGCGTGTTTCCCCCGCTGGCGCGCAGCCGGGCAACGTCGATGCAGGTGCGGTCGTGTTTGTTTGCCGGTCGTGTGGCGTGGCCTACTTAGTTCCTGCAGCCGAGCGGGGCGACGTGACACGCCACCGCCAATCAATGGCGCCCGGCGAGCGTCCTTCTCCGCGCTGCACCGGGCCCACCGCGGCGCAAACACCGCAAGCTGCCTCCGATCGGCCGCCGCCGCCTGCAAGCGGCGAACGTCCTGAGCTCGGCCGGCTGCCCGGGCCGGCCACCAGCAGGGCGGGCCGCCCGCCGGCCAACACGCCGGGCGAGTATACCCGCCATTAGAACACCGACCACAATAAATTCCCAGCAACGATTTTGTTCAACAGCTGAGATCAGTGCATATAGCCGGTACATTAAAAAATAACCCAGCCCCTGGCGAATCCATCATGACTTCTGACGTCTATGGGACATGCCCTGCGCATGACGGCAGCGCATTTGGCACGGGATGGGCGCGACTAATCCGACCGCTGACGTTCTCCTGCGCTACGAGGCCGTCCACGCCCTCTGGCGCTGCGGGGCGGCCGGCGACATCTGACAACGTCCTACGGCGCTACGAGGCGGCCGGCGACATCTCATCACGTCCTCCAGCGCTGCGAGGCCGCCGGTGACGTCCGACCACGTCCTCCAGCGGTGCGAGGCCGCCGGCGACATCTGACCACGTCCTCCGGTGCTGCTAGGCCGCCGGCGATATCTGACCACGTCTTACGGCGCTACGAGGCAGCCGGCGACATCTCATCACGTCCCCCGGCGCTGCGAGGCCGCCGGCGATGCACCGGCCCGGTCAGACTGCGCCCACAGCGCAGCACACGGCGCAGCTCAACGCCCGCCCCATGCCGCCGACGCAGAGCCCAGGCGCACCGCGCGACGCGCACAAAGCCGCTCGTATTGAGGTCACTGCGCCCCGGGGCGGCTGCACGGGGCGCGCGCTCCACGTGCGTCACGACAGCTGGCGCCCACAGCCGCCGGGAGCCGAGACCCACCCGGAGACGCGCCCCCAACTCTGTCCCAGCGGCGGTCTCCGGCGGCGCCCCGTCGCGGCCCATTTTTCTCGGCGGCTGGCGAGGTCAGGCCCGGTGCAGCTGCACCGAGAACGCCCCGAGAATGCACCGGGCGCGATCGATGCCGGCTGCCAGGGGCGCTGTGGGTCCGCGCGGCTCCTCCCGGGCGGCGGCGGCGGTGGCGGCGGCGGCAGCAGGCCCGAAGCCTGGGGCGGGGTCCGGCCGCAACACGCCGCCGCCGACGACAACAAGGCGATTAGCCCCGCTGCAGCGGCGCAGGCAGCCGGCGGCGGTCGAGTGCAGGCGCACCGAGCCAGCCGGAAGCGACGAGCGAGGGGGAGGGGAGGGGTGGGTGGAGCCGGCCGAGCTGCTCGGCGGCACGAAGGTCAGGTGAGCCGGCCGCAGGCGGACGGGGGGAAGGGGGTGTTGTGGCGCTCCCGCGGCCGAAGCGCAGCTCCCGTCCCAGACGAGGCCAGCGCGGAGCTGGTCCCGGGGTGCCAGTCAGGCTATACCGGATCGCGCGTCTAAAGAGCGTGGCGTGCTCTCCTTCTGCTGGGTGACTTGGGAGCCGGCTCCTAGAAACGTCGGGTGTCCTCCAACACGTCACCATGGGGATAATTGTGATTTGTCTTGGCGATGCGATGAGGGCAGTGGGGAACTACCACGACCAAATATGTTAACCCAGCTGGGCAAAACTGAGCTAAGAACACACGCCACCCAGACATAATCGTATTGTAGGTCCATTGTGCTACCAACAAGGGTTGTGCACCCAACGGCAGATGAAGTCGATCGTGATCGAAACATCATAAACGTACACTTTGGGACAGCCAATACAACGGCCCGATGCCTTTCGTGGCATGTGGCGAGCGAGGCAATAAGACATGCGAGTTGCCAACTGTTATCGTGTATCGTGTAGATGGTACCAAAAAACACGCCCATAGAGCCAAATACCTTGGACAACAATACGTTTGTGTTTGATCAATGCGATGAAAAGCGCTGAGCCTTCATATCCGCATTCATATCGGTTCCATGGTTCCTACAATGGATACTGCGCAGGGCCATGTAGTTAAAATGGGTAAAATGCGTGGCCCAAGCATGATTTAATTTTTGGTCTCGCCAGTTCATGGAATCAATCACAGAGTAGTTTGATGGGAAACAGTTTGGTCGCTCCACGCAGAAAGTGAAACCAGCGTCTTCCCACCAAGCCGTTAGACCTTGAAAAAGCACAACACACGTAATCCTAAGCGGACCGATGGAAAATCAGGAAAAAAAACTCTCGCCACCGCTCCAGATCTGCACACCTCAGAAGAATATCCGCGCCTTACAAAACGTCCCGCAGGCCTATTGTGATGCCAGCCACCGCAGATGCTTCGATAATCTCCTGCGACTCCTTGCTGTTGATCATCATCCTCGGCACGCATCTGATCCGGGAATACACGGCACATTCCTGGAACCCTCGTCAGTAGATCGCAACGTACCGTTCCAGCACGGGTGCAAGGCACGTGCAGAGTAAACCTCGAGCGCAGCGTTCGGCGAGAAGTGACCGGGGAACAACACTACCAGGAAAGACCGGCACGAGCGCAAGGCACGCGCAGCGTAAACCCCGAGCGCAACATTCGGCGAGAAGTCGCCGGGGAGCAACACTAACAGGAAAAAGCCGCCGCCGGCAGGGCTGCGAATGTTTCGAAGAAGCGTGAGCTCATGTTGCTGCTGCGCCCGGCCGACTCCTTGTCTTAAGCATTGCGATAAATTCTGCTCCTTGGGCGGGACATTTGGCGGCCTGGCACATGCGCGCAGTAAAACCCAACAAGTCTGCTGAGTTCTCCATCTTCATGAAATGCGCGCGGTCTGCACCAATCACATCGCACAGCAGTATTAGAGAATCGGCCCCAAACTTGTACACGTGGCCAAGACAGACTTAATACAAAATTTGCAGGGTGATGTGCCGCTGCTACCGGCATGGGATGACCCGAGGCCCTGTTCGTCTGGTACGCCATCCGGTCGACGCGAGCGACAACAGTAAGCTCGCGATCTAGCACGACACCCGGAGCAGCCACGGCCACTCTGATGCATGAGATCTCGGGCATGCTGCCCTCTCTACGGGTGGGCCTCCCGTGGTGTAAACACTTACGACAGGGGAGAGACCTGGGGTTGGTTGCAGCGCAGTAGTTCGACAGGTTCGGTTTCAGCCGCCATAACCGAAGCCATCGACAGAGTTGACTGGGCACGTGCTGGTCGAAAGCCATGCTTGCTTAACAGTCAACTCTATGTCATGCACATTTTTGCA